CTTTTGCCAGTTTGCTTTTTGAAAGTAAAAACTATTTTTTGGTAGCTACAATAGGAGACTAACATCAATATTTTAAAAGTTTATTTTTATGAATATATGCTTAAAAGAAAAAAAAAGTTCGAGAACTGATTTTAAGAAAGGTTCTACGAGTGTTTAGTTAAAGCTTGATGTATATTAAGACTTGGTCTGTATAGTTTTTAAATAGTTTTATTCAGTTGATTGAAGAAATTGGATAAATAACCTAAAAAAAGGAATAAAATAAATATTAAAATTCAATGGCTCTTACTTATTTTGATTTATGACTTTTATAAAATATCTTATAATTAACATTAATTTCGTAAGCGGTAAGGAAATGTCTTCTATGTATTCAAGAAAAAATATAACAGTAAGAAATTATTTTCATTTACCTATTTAATTCATATAGATTTAATTCCAATTAAGTTACAAAATTAGGTGGTAAAATTAAAATTTCATTTCATTCAAGGAAATGTTTCGAATTAGTGTTGCAAATTCTTTCAGTGCTCTATTCGTATTAAAGTGACGTTTCAAGATAACGAGATTAAGCGTTGAAAGAAGTTATGAAACAAGGGACACTGGAAATAAAATTAACCCGAAGACAAATGTGCTTCTCTGTAATTTCGTTTAGGAAGTTTTGGAGACGTTCCCCGGTGGCATTGCTTTTGTCTTAAAAATGGAATATCCAAATTAAATATTGAATATTTAAACATCGAAAACTTCTAATGGGACTTTACTTATTGTTGAATTTATGACGTAGACTGCGTAGCATAAAACAAAGCTGATATAATTATAATATTATGCTTATTATACTGAGATTTGTTCACATAACTAAACTACATATAAGGTTATTCAAATGCAGAATGAGCTGTATCTTATAATTTATTCTAGATAGGGGATGACGCAAACAAAAAATTAGGTTTAACATAAAACTGATTTTGTATCTGCAAAATTAAGGGGATGGAATAATTATAACAGCTAATTTAACGTCCTATTAAAGACATTTAGGTTATATCTGGAGAGACGGTGTGATATTTGGGCGTCTTAATTTTGTGTTGATTAAGCTTTAAAACTGCCACGCCGGCGCTCACGAAACGAAACGCGAATGAAAACGTTAGCGGCATTAAGTATGAACGATCTCACCTAACCTAACATTAAGTCAGCTCAAAATAATAATTATTTAATTATATTAATAAGCCCTCAATTATATAATTTAACTTAATTTTTTTTTATTTTCATCTTAATATTTAAATTTAGAACAAACTACCGTTTACTTTGATATAAAGGATTGTATGGGGAATACTTATGTAAAAAATGTTATGTAGTTTGCTTTGTATTTTCTTTTCTTTGTATGATCGTCTCTCTCTCTCTCTCTCTCTCTTTCTCTGGCTAACGTATGTGTCTGTTTATCTATTGTTATTTATTGTCATCATAAAAGAGTGTCATCGAAGTAGAAGGTTTTTAAGTGCAGTCTGCATCAATCGTGCGTCTGCGCGTCATAGCAACAATAAAACAATTTTATTACCGTCTCGCGCTACACAAAAACGAATAATTTCACCGTAAAACATCTTTTATTATCGGATACAACTCCTTACTGTTTAGTAAACTGAGCATTGCGATAGAATAATGACTTTCCAACATTAATGGATAACATGTCTCAAAATACGATGCGACAGTGAAAGTCAATGAAAAATTCGCAAAGTAACTAATAATTATGTTTAAAAATATCACATAAAGTATACTAACCGTTTTTCATTACACAAAAAGAAAGATGCACATTTTTGCTCTTAAATAATTCTTTGCCATGAAATTACTGGAGTAAAATTTTGCTGTATTGTGTGTCTTTTTAAATTTTTTGTAATTTGATAACATAAATATTTTGATCATGACATTTAATATTTAAACTAAATAAAGCTTCGTTAAAGGTCGCATAAGCTCTAACGCTATATAAAGAACTATGTTATGTGCTATCGACCTACATATTATTTTGTGATTTTTTTCAATCTATTAATATACTATTCTTCCTATAGAAATTTGTAAGCAGTTAGCTAAGCAATGAAAATTGTTAAGAAAGTTTTATAGTACTACGAAAGAAAATTTAAGTGTCTCTTTTACAAAATATGGCAGTAAGATGTCATATATTGCTGCGTTCTTGTCGCGACATTTAATAAAAGGTTTTATGCTACGTCGTAGCATCGTAGACAACGTAGCATGCTTGTACGTAGCAAATCTGTAAAGCTTAACTGATACACGAATGTGAAGTTTATTCCTTTATATTGCGTATTGTAAAAGTTCTAGTTGAATAAAATTGTATATTTTATTTGGAAAATATCAAGCATTTAAAGTCCGAATTTAAAACTGTTTGTGACAATTAATGAGTACCAATATTACACGTAAATATTGATGTATGCAAATTATTTAAGTGATACAATCACATTGAACGTAATTACCAATTGAAATAAGGATTACAGTATTTTCCTATAACAGATCCTTTATTCCGTATAATATTGTTTAATTTATTTTTACATTCTACGACAGACATAAGTTGCACCTCTAATCCAATTTGTTTAAAACAAATAGTTTTGGTATATAATGATTTATATAGGGTGTGTAAAATTGACATAAATGTCTGTGTAGGGTTAACTGTACCCTTGGCCGTCTGTCTGACCACAAACCCGCAGCCCCCATACAATTGAACCCGCGCCGTTGCCTTGTATCTACTCTTATTACAAATCCGAAATAGCTTTTAATTTAGACGTAGAACAAGTACGATATTAAATAGTATCAATACCCTAATGCCATCTAACTTAGTAAAATACGTTTGATGTTACACTCTATTTAGTTTCTGTTTTGCTAACTTTTGTTGTTAGAGTTGGCAAGTATTTAACCCACAGATTAAATATAAATGATCAAGGAATTATACGATTGTTACTAAATAATTATTTAATGACATTAAAATGTTAAAAGCATTTAGTTTAGGTAATCCACGGAAATGGAAAACTGTACCAAGAATTGCTTAAACAATTTCTCTTACTAACTGTAATTGTAATAATAGACAGCAAAGTAAATCTTTATTTTAATAACTAAAAATTGTATTCACGATACTGAACTTCATTCTTTAACCGAAATTAATAAAACTTAATAAAATTATAATAAAAATCAAAATTTGTGGAACATAAACAGGGTTTTTAATATAACTAATAGTTATTTTATGCATTTTGAATAAACCATTAACTTTTAATTAAACGCTAAGTAATCGAGTAAGATAAACACTTTCTATGATATATCCCTTATCTATTAATTATGACATCGTATAGTCAACTTTAACAAGTTTTAAACAGGCTACCCTTACCCTTTTGTCTTTGAATCCATGCCGATTCAAACTTGACTCGAAAACTTCCTTAAGATAATCTATGGATTTAGTCACAAAGACATTCATGAAACAATATTCAAGTTACCAATTCAAGAATCCATTAGAAATCTTTCGTTGATTTGAAATATTGAATTAAACTTTCCTTAATTTTTGTAATAAACTAGACAGTAGAACGTTTTAACCATTTATACTTTGGGCCTTTTAGTGCTATATTATATTACCACCTACTATAAATTAGTACCACGTTTTTGTTTAAATAAAACTTTAATTACCAACCTATGAAACATTTCAATGTATTGAATTGAATTATTTAAAATATAAAGCTGCATTACATTACCGATTGATAAAGTTTTAATGAACACTAATAACATTGAAATGAGTTTGTCCCATAAAAATTAGGTAAAAAACTAATATGAAATATAATCTATAATCCTAATAAAGAAGAAATACAATAGAAATATAACGGTATTAGTAAAGTGGTGTTAACATGTCAATAAAAATTAACCCTTGTGTCTGTATATTCGTATTAGATGTTCGATGTTAATATATCAGTTACATATTACAACGAATGTCTTCAGATTGATTTATAATATTAACGTAGATAATTTTCAGAGCTATTTATTAATTACTACTGAAATGTATTATAATTATTTGGAAAATACGTTATTCGGGTTAAAATAACTCTCATATTCTTTTTAATTTTTCTTTTAATGATAATTAAAAATGATATTACTATCGATGTTTTTTAGCTATCTAAAGATTCTGCTGCATATTATTTTTTTTTTTAATATTTGATATATAAATTATTACATTATAGTAGAAATTAAATCAAAGTTTAAGCGCGAATGCAGTGCGGGAAACAATTACTGTTAGGTAGGAAATTATAAAAGTTTTGTATAATACAAAACGAAATTGCTCACTGTCATGAAAATTAATAATGTTAACAATTGTTACCATAGTGTCCATATCTAATATGTAAACCTATAGAAATTGTTGTGAAAATATAATTCTGGAGAACACATATTACTTTGTTCACGGACGAAGAAGCTCGGGCATTTTAAATTATTGTCACGCTTCTGGACTTTAAAAAAAAGCTTTTTCCGCAACTGAAATGAGTTTTTTGATGGGAATGAATTTTGCTTGACCCTTTTCAGCAATATATACTTGGCGACAAGCAAGGAAAAACATGTTTTATAAAACATGATTTGTGATTAATTCTACGGACTTGTGAATATTACTTTAATGACGAGAAAGTGTAACAAAAATTAATAGGAAAAATGAAAACACTATAACATTTTGGTTTCTAAATATTGTACTGTATCAATAGTTATTTTTAAAATTTTAGTTACGTGTTAAATGTTCGTTTATTTTTTTTTTAAATATTGGGTTGTTTCTATGATTCAAAATTCATCATAGTTTACATTACTTCAGAATTTTCCCGCTAAAACATCACAGATTTGTTTCTTTTATATTAATTAACTTTTTTGTCAACATAAAATCCTAACCCAATTATTATATTATTATTATAGATACGGATTATTTTCGCTAGAGAAATTCATGAATAATTTTTCCGCGTTACCGGTCACAAGTTTTATCAGCGAATGGAACTTACCTGACGAGTGTGTTGTCGGCGGGAGCTGTTACTGCTGGTTGTAGTGTTCACGATAGGATCGCGGCCTTTCAATAACAAAGTTTGTGGCATGCAAGCCTTATATAGGTGAGAGACCCGCCCACACCCCGCCCCGGGGCGGGCCGGCCACTTAGCCGCTGCTTACTTAACTTGGTGCCGCAACAAGTTTTTTTCTTAAACTTAAAGTAAGTCACTTTATAAGGTTTTCGTGAAAAGTTTAACCCAGATTAAGTGTGCGTTATTTTCTTTCAATCTCCTTAAGCTGTTAGGAGATAGCTTCAAATATGTAAAATGTAAAAAAAATCTGTTTGAAAAATGCAAACTGATATTTATCGTAAAAATAAGATTAACAAAGCTAATTAGTTTGTTCTAATAGAAATTAGTCTACTAAGTTTAAGCGTCAATAGCGTAATGGTTAAGGGTACGGATTTCCGACCACAAGGTCGGGGGTTCGGATCCCGCCATTCGACTATTGTCGTAAACCATATCCTAGCACAAGCCTAGAGCTTAGTTGGAATGGTTAAAGAAATATTAGTAAATTTACAAAAAAATCTGCTAATATTTTCAACAAAAAAAAATGTATTATATTAGTACCTCATTTTGAACTCGACAAAACAGAAAATAACTTACCTTGCTAATTTAGTAAACATTATTATGAATTAATTTTGGGCTATTTCAAGTTTTTATCTGTATAAGATATAGAAGAATCTGATTCTGTAATATTAATACTTCAACAGATTTAACCTAAGCTAAATGTTATTTTTTTATCCCTGACACAGATTTAGTTTCTACGTACGTCATAAAAAGTTCTATGTAGATCATTTCGTTGACAAAATTAAAAACACAAAAGAGAAGGCCGCAGTTTTCCTAGTACAGGTTTTAATTAGACATAACTTAAACTTTTATAAGGGCAATATTATCTTTATGTCTCGAAAAGATTGTCAGTTAGTGACTTAGTTCTTAAAATAAGTAGAAAGTTTTTTCTCTAGAGTTTTATTATTGAGAACTCTGTGTAAAAAGTTTACTGCTTTAATTAATTTTAATTAGTAACCACTACTATTAATATTAAAGTTATTTCTAATATCACAACAGTCTTATAAAAATATATTTTTGATCTGTAGACGGTGACTACGGTTGCATATATATATACTTCAGAATTAATTGGAACTGTAGTGGATTAATAAATTGCAGTTAACAGGTAAGAAATGAAAAAAAATGAAATAATCTTTATTGTTATTCCAAAAATTATAAATTCAATGTTGCCTTTGCTCCTTAACTAGGAAGACGTGTATTTAAGGATCAAAGGACTTCCCTTACATGTAATTTTTAAATTATTTGTGTAGAAAAATAGACAACTTAGTTATGAATAAACAATTACAGTGTGTGTGTGTGTGTGTGTGTGTGTGTGTGTGTGTGTGTGCGTGCGTGTGTGTACGAATAAAAAGGTACTTTATACATAATATTTATACATCAAGTTAGAGAAACTACTGCATTAATTAATATTGCTCAATCTCTATTTATAGCGTGTCTTTTTTACAATAAAATACAAACTCAACAATATGTATGTATGAGTTTCAAAAATTTTTCGCCTTAATTTTTATTTAAAGCTCGCTACACACCCTTAATCTCATAAAACTATTAAAAATATACATATAAATTATTTTAATTCTATTGTTGTATTTGGGATTTAAGTGATATAAGAGACTATTCTGATAAAACAGAGAAAATATATTTTGTAACCTCCTGGCTCAAATAGGAAGAACAAGTGAAATAGCGATACAGGAGTGTAAGGCAGTATGGGGCGCCGGAAAGATTTCTTTTCAATAAAAGCCTTCATTTCCCAGCGGAGGTGTCACATTACCTAATCGTAATCGTAATAGATACATTGGGGGAATAAAATAGGTTTTCCAAGAAATTCTACGGAACGCTACGAACGTTATATCAGATATGGTATTTTTTATTGCTCTTTTCCTTAACTTACGTTGAAGACACCTAAACATTTTTTTTTAATTTTGTAAGTTACAAGTTTTTTGTATTCCAAACCGATCTAAAATTAATTATTGCAGTCGTAGATCTAACCAATATTATAAATGCGAATGTTTAGATGGACATATGTTTGTTTGAAGGTATCTCCGGAACGGCCCAATGCATTTTCCTGAAATTTGGTGTAGTTGTAGAACGTAGCCTGGAAAAAGACATAGGCTACTAATTAAGATTTTTTTATTCCTTGCAGACGGAATCGCAAACGACAGCTAGTATTTCATAGATTTTTTTTATGTATATCCCCAAGGTTTTAATATGTTATACTATAACTATATTACCTAAACTTAAGTAAGTTAAAGCGGAGGACAATCGGCTTAACTATCTTATAACGAGATAACAACAGTTTTAAATAGTAATATAGAGTCTGTTGTTTCAAAAATCGATATGCTTTAGTAAACAAAGTCGTAGAACCCATACCTAAGTATTTAATTCAAATATTATGTTTATCACGTCATTAATCACACACACACTTGATCCAGTCACAAATGTTTATCAATGATCATTAGAATCGCATTTCATTGTATTGTTATCGAGTATGACAATCTATTGATGTCATTAATTTAATTACTAATTGCCCTCGCGCAAAATTGATGAATGTTGTGATCGAAATTAAATAATTTAGTACAATTATGTATACTGAACTATTTTTCAGCATTTTTTTTTAAATTTCGTTAAAATTCTTACTAATATTATAAATAGGAATGTTCGCGTTGATGGATGGTTAGAAGTTATCCCTAAAATTACCTAAAGAATCTCGATGAAATTTAGCATAGATGTAGAGTATAGTCAGGAAAAATACATAGGCTACTAATTATTTTTTTAATTACACTCGGACGGAGTCGCGGGTGACAACTAGTGCTTAATAAATGTAACATTTACGTACTTTATTTAATGGATATTGACTCCTGTAAAAGTGTAATTCTATCTTTCAATATGAAATAACCTAACACTATACTTGTAGCCAATTTAGCGTGCATCAAAAATCGATGGAAAAGTGTTTTAAATTCACATATTCTTCTACTGTTTGGAGACGCGTTCATCTGTTAACAAAGATAAAAGAAAACAACTCCACTTTGATAAAAGCAAAATAAACTTTAAAACATTTAAATAGGGTGCAAAATGGATTGAGCGAATGTGTAGAGAAATATTTTAAATAGATTGTGATACTGGAAAGCTGATGAAATTTGTAAACATTTAAAAGCCAAGAGTTCAATCTTACTTCAGTTAGGTTGAGAAAGTAAATTGGTTTAGAAAAATAACTATACACAACTATTAAAAAATGACAAACTAAATATATTTCATTAATAACACCTCGGTGTTCCCGCTGCTCGTTTGCCCCCTTCTGTTATAAAAAAAAAATTAAAATGTGAAAGTAAACTTTAGATCACAAACTTTAGTGCTAAAAGGACAGGACCTCTATCATTTCTATAACTAAGGTTTCTATCTGAATACAATTTTTTCTCATAATGAAAGGTCACATATAATAAACCATTGTGTTACTATGGCGGTTATAACTCAGATAATTATCAGTAAGATATATGAGGTTTCAGACGTGCAAGGTACGAGAATTCCATTGAGTTATTTGTTCTAGATAATACCATACACCATCCTTATTCATATGTTCTATTTGGTCAAAAAAAAATTGACAATACTAGAAATATATTTGATATGACCTAAAAATTATCAAGGTTTTTTTTTTAAAGTTTTAAAATATGAAGTGGCGTATCAGATTATATAATTTAGAGTAAGATTTCTGAATATATTTTTTAAGTATTTCATAAAGGTCACAGATAAAATTATAATCATAAGCACAAATAATATTGTTATTTGGTAAGCATTGAAATTGGAGAAAATCGATTTGTATCGTATTTCTATTAGCTGGGACTGCTTTGTTATTCATGAAAGTGGCTTTAACGATTTGTCATCGGCTCCGTCGTTATAAAGAGGATCAGGGCCACCGTAATAGTATCATTTTATCCTAATCATACGGTAATAACAAAAGTCCGTAAATATTATATGGCTGTAATCTGTAATATATTACCGTATGATCGATAAGTAATTATGACAATTTTTGTAGCGGAAAATTAGGAACAAAATGACAATGTAAAAGAGATATTAGAAATGTTTTATGACAAAATAGCGAAACAGTACGACACACATTTTGTCTACACGAAAGAAATTTGGTCTCTTGACCTTGACCTTGAGGTTTAGAGACCCTATCATCTCTTTGAAGCAAATTTTTCTGGTCTATAATAACGTATATTCAGTTACAAATAACTCGTACATAAAACAATATCTTTTAATGGACTCTTCCGCGTCACCCATAAAATTATGAGACCTTTACTCCTTTATAGCATATTGTGATCTTCACTGTCGCATGAAACGTTTAAAGTACATTGCTGCGTATCCAAGTTACTTTCTTCCATCTATAATATAATTTTAAGAAACACTTATAGTATACAAAATAATTTCAAATATCTGATTTTAGTCAAAATCTTTACTCAACATATCCTCTGTTCCTCTGACTATTCTATTTCAAATAACAACACATTATCTAATATGCAAAAAAATAATAAACATGTCTGCGTTCCTATTTAGAACGTTTATCATTTTAATAACAATAAATAATAGCAAGCAATGTATAGAGAAAAATCATTTTCCGTACTTAAAATGGATAACACGTCACGGTAGACGTGCTCTCAGAGTATTCCCTTTTCGACATCAAATCATAACGAATGCATCATCAATGTCTCGGCATGGGACACTAATACACCTAATAATGGTTCAGGTAATAAAATACTTATGTTTTGATGGTTTTAGTAACAGATATATAGCATTAACAGGTACGTGGGAATATATGTATTTCCGAAAAGCTTTTAGCTACCTCATAAATTGGTAATTACCATTAAGCAATGATTTTATTACCATTAATTTATTATCAAAGAGACGTGTAAGTTTATAAAACAAATAGTCTTGCTTACATTATGATTTGTGGTATAAAAATAATTTAAGAGAATGTTAAATATGTTTTCAATATCAATTAATATAGCAAAGATATTAATACTGCTTTTAAACTTTATTTGATTCTAATATCAGTTACATAATCTTCATACTTCTATGAAATATCAAGCTCAATATCGTGAAGCGCTAAACCTAGGTAAACACAAAATCTATGGCTTCTTGATATTAATAGGGTGAGTGCAGTCAAGCGTGTTCCATATCTAGCGGGCATGTTCCCCCGATACTCTCCCCAGATGAGATTATCACACTGTTTATGATAAGATAGGTTGCGTGTAGGAGGAGGTATTTCCTACTTTCGTAACTTCTTTGATCTGTGTGCATGTGTTAATAAATAATGAAAGTTTGAAGGTTAATTAAACGTAACATTTTTAAGGCTTCACACTCCTAACGTTAATTAAAGTTCGCTTAATTGATTCTTGGCATACATCAGGCTATGCAACTGTTACAGTTTGTAAACTGTATTAAAAATATAACACTCTGAAGACGAAAAACGTTTAATTATTCGCATTTATTGTTGGTGTATTTTAGGAAGTTATTTTATGATGGATTTAATCTTCCACCCAAGTTGGGTTGACGGCAAGTAGCTGGCCGTAAGAAAAAATCCAAGCTTAAGGTTTAAAAAACCTTGAGCGCCGATCCCACATGAATGGGATTACACCAAGAAGAAGACGAAAAACAGAAAGGTATACACATATCAGTCGTTGTTTTAATTTATTTATTTGCTTATTAACCATAGGTTTGTTATACAAAAACTTTTTTTTAAAGATACAGATATGCATTGTTTTGTTTGTATGGACCTCATTTCAGTGTTACTGAACGGAAATATAAATTATTACATGAAAATTTAAAATAAGTGTTAATTTTCACCGTGCCGAGGAATATTGTTTCGCCATCTGTTGCATCTGTTCTGTATTTTACGCAGCGAACTTTTATATTATAACTATCTTTTATACTTTTATTAACATTCAATTTTCATACATAGATAATTAAAATGTACTGATGTTCAAAACAAAATGTTTGTCTGCATTTTATAAAAAAAATATCAATATTAGCAGAACAGAAAAGAATTCAAAATAATCTACAACTGAACGAGAATACCTGTTTTTTTCTCCTTTTAAAAGATACTACACATTTTAAATTCAAGGTAAAGAATAGCCTCAGGTAACAGGTACTAAAGTTTAGATTTTTATGCGCTAAAAGCACTTTACTTAGCACTTCTAGTGTTTTATATTAACCTTAAAAACGGATATTTACTGCAGTGCATTCATAACCGAAAAAAGAGAAGTAATATTTTTTTTAACAAATAATACGTTCGAAATTAAAAAAAAATAGAATGGTTACGAGTTATTATTATAATTGATTATAAAAAGCGATTGTATAGTTAATTATAACATCTAATAAACATAAGAAAAGAGACTTGGCTAAATCTATTGCACAATTAAAAACGATTACTGCGAATTATCTAAGAGAATATAAATAAGAGAAAAATTAATATAAAATAGTATCGAAGCAGTTTCCAATACAAAGCCTGTTTGTACGTTAAGTATAAGAGTTTTGCCACAACTTCTAATGAGATTATCGGTTCCCGTATTTTCTAATCGCCCTAGTTATACCATTGTGCGGTAACGTCCGCAGTTTATGCAAATGAAAACAGGACTTTGTGCTTTTACGGCCCGATAAACTTTTACTAAAGAAATGCAAAACTCTATTTCATATCAATTAATATTTAATGGAATTGTCTCGTTTTATTTGTATATTGAAACTTACGTATATTTTAAAAGAAATATTTAAAGAGGCTACCACTCCGTGCGTGCTTTTATTTAATGCGATTAGGTAATCAAGTAGCAATAACATTCGACCCACGCGCCGTGCGATCTCAACAATTAATTTGTTGTTTTAATTTGTAATTAATTAACTCTCTGTTCCGATTTGATGATCTTCATTTTACTTGGTGTTTCTGAAGTAGGTTAATTTTATTCTGAGAGTTCTTTGTACTCGATCACAAATTATAATTTGCGTTACAAACGTAAACGGTGGTCTAAAAATAAATTGTTCTTATTTATTAAGACCTAAAAAATTAAACAATTATTCGTCAAGTTGCTTCAAACGGGTCCAACCTCGATAAGTCGTCTCGTCGTTTCATTGCGTAGTTTCTATGGTAACTTTCCAGCCTCATCAGACCAACACCATGTCATCATAATATTGCATTGTCACGTATGTTACACATGTATGAAAAATTTCAGCTCAATTGGTTACTGGGAAGTGGATCAAAAATTTGCAAGATTTGATGACAAACATCAGGCCATGTGATACTAAATGAGAGCTCGTAAAATGAAAGTTGGTCACTTGGTGAGTACTAATAACTATATAACGAATCATAATAAACTGAATAACAAATCTAAAATTTTCTTAACGATATTTTTTTCAAGACAAATATTCAACGTTCCACAATTTATCCGACGTTCTTACGATGAAGGAAAACATCGTGATGCAACCTGCACATATCTGAGAAGTAATTCAAAGATATGTGTGAAGTCAACCAACCCGCACTTGGCCAGCGTGGTTGACTATGGCCTAATCACCCTTATCTTAGGGTAGGCTCCGATCCCCTCGGTGGGGACGTATAGTGAGCTGATGATGATGAAATATTCAAAGGTACGAGATTTCGCAAACAAAGCGGTGATTAATATTTGAGATTTCGACATTAACCGAATTCGTACGAGCGTGTTACAATCAAAACGGGATATAAAGGATTTATATTCCAACAATAAAAGGGATAAGTTGACGACTTACGTCTACAACGTAATGACTACTTTACGAACCTTAAAATTTAGTAGACTCGTTCAGTTAATATTCGCTTTGGAATCGATTCTGTATCCGAATGAAGGGCATCGTTTTGCATGTCAACGCTTAAAGGATTTCAACAACGTGATTATCCATAAAGAGAATGTAATTATTATGCATGCGCAGTTATTTACAATTTTATATCCCGTATTTAAATATGTTTAAATATATTTACAGTGAGTCCGTGTCGCGACATAGGAAACTATGCTGACGCTCGTTATCTACATGGGTAGGCAGATGCTAATGTCGTTAATTATTCATGGAATACAGTTTCAACCCAGTATCCAGATGAAAACCCTTATAGTTATGTGTGAAGTGAATGGACTGACCTTGGGTTTCAGAGACCAAAATTTCCGTTTAAAATAAATTGTAAAAGATATTGACAGTAGTGACGATATGTTTATTATTTATTACAGTAAATAACTATAAACTCAGGATGTATGTGTTTGTGACATAATCATGAGTTTCCTCTGCCGAAACATCTTGACCAAACTTTCTTTTTTAAATGAATGAAAAGGATTGTCTATTTGTGCATGCGTGCAATAAAAACGCATGGTTGTTGAATTTCATCCGTAACATTAAAAAGGGTTATTGGAATTTAAAAAAAACAATTCTTTTTTATAAACTTTATACATATAAAACATTACATAAGCTGGACAAAATAAAGATTAAGTCCAAATAAAGTAGATCGTGCAAAAGCAAAAGTACAAAGACATCTCATAACACTGGCACATAACATGTTAATTGTTTTTATATAAACATTAAAATCCAAACAATTTTAACAATTTTTAATTTTTCAAAAAAAAATATGGCAACATAAATAAACGCTTACGACACACACATAGCACGTTTAAAGCATTATTTATGTAAGGCACTGTTTTTTGGTTTTTTACAAAAAAAACTAAACACAAAACAATTGATACGATTCTTATATAAAAAAAATATCTTTTATAATATTATTGTACTCTAAGGTTTCAAACAAATTTTACAGCTTTATTTTTCACATACAAATTAATAATTAATATCAATTAAGTCTTCGATATGGAAACATTTGTGCATCGTTTAAACGAAAGGAAATTTTGTAATTAACGAATTCTCAATACCATCCTTTTAAGAGAAGTTTGGTATTGAAAATTCTTTCTGCTGGTTACATATAAATTGCATTATGACAAAAATAATATCTTTATATGATATCCAAAGTAGTCAAGCGAGCAAACTTAAAACAGAATTACATATATTAAAATGTAAGCAACAATAACTTTTAACAATTTTAAATTTCTTTATTCAAAACAATCAAATTAAATTGAGATAATTTAACAAACTTTGCAATTACTAACAACGATACAGAGAACATTAAAAACAAAGACGGAAGACTAAATCGTAATAAGAAAAAACGTTACAAAATCTTGTAAATATTATAAATATGTCTGTATAAATGCATATCGGCTGTAATCACAATTGGTAACTTGACACGTGGTATCCTACATACCTACTGTTCATTACTCATACCATAAATAAATATAGAAAATATCATAGAATATAGTAAAATAAGTTTAAATTAAGAGGTAAATTGTTTTCTGATACAAAGAGACAAAAAAGGGTTACAATCAGTTTCACACAATATAATGGTCCGTAGTTTGGAATTATAATTCCAAAGTAAATTAGCTCACTTTATTCGTATCTCGTAGCAGTATAGCATTTGCATTTGTACGTTGCTGAGGTTAAATATAAAAAATATAGCACACGGTTATATAATCCATTACACAAGATACAATCAGACAAATGCATAAATTTAATGTACATGGTAATCAAAAATCATAAAGTATTTGGTATACAATTTTTCACATTTTTTTTTAAAATATGATTGGAGGACAAATTAAAAAGCGACCAGCTTGATTCGCCGAAATAGCGAAGCGACCGTTGCTCGTGAACGAAGTGATCCGCATTTACAGATACGTAGTCTACCTATAATCGACGGAGGAGGGGAAACACGGAAAGAAAATGTATCCCCTCCCCATGCGTCCCCTCCTCCGTCCCATCCGCTTTCCCTTTTTTTTAAAGTAAAGAGTGGGAAGGGAAAAGAGACTAAAATTAGGTCTCCCACACCATACAAAAGAAGTCGGGGATAACAAATTTTGATTACCTTGTACATTGCCTGATAAATCAGCGGAAGCCGGTCAGGTTGAGGTGGTGCAGGTTGAAGTGATAGGCGAGTGCGTGCAGCGTGAGCATCAGCGTGGTGCGGTCCAGCAGTAGAAAGAAGTCGGCCAGGGGGCGCAGAGTACGCTGCGGGCGCGGTGGGCGTGGCGACATTCCTTCTACGGCCTCATGTCAACGTGGCGCGCGCATCAGCCGCTCGCACTGCGCCAGCAGGTAGCGCTTCTGCTGCTCGTCGTACAGGAATATCACTTTGCCTGAACCGGAGCTCGAGAACATTCCCAACACTTTCTTCTTTGCTGTTGGTATGTACACTCCTTTGCTGACCGCTGTGGGGACTTCGGGGATCTCCGTCCAGAGGTAAGTCCATACGATCTGTCGAGAAGTTAATATTAGCTCTAGTTGTTACGATATTTTTTCCACATTGTGTACCGAGTATACTAAAGTTAGCTTTAAAGTGAAAATACACGTAAAAATGTATGGTGATGAAATCGGCATATTTAATGATCAGTAACAGTGGTGGTTACCTGCCAGCCGCCGAAGACGTTGTTTCGCTCAAGGTAGAGCAGACGCTTGTCGGTGCACATGACCGCCTCCTTGCCCGCGATCACCCACACGTGCGCCTCGTAAGTGTCCGTGCTCACAAACTTGCCCTAACAGACACATTAAGGGTAAAATTACAGGAAAAATCTTATCCGGTCAGTACTAAAACAGAGTTTCTAATTTAGGAACTAAATTTAGGAGTTGTTGCATATCAAATGAAGTTACCTTCTCCAGTTCGGAGAGCATCTTGTAGCCCTCAGCCTGCAGACGGGAGTAGGGTCGCACGCCGGCGTCGGGCGGCAAGTAGCGTGCCGCGCGCCGCTTCGTCACCTCCTCCGACAGATCAGCCGCCCTGATGTACGCATTGTAATACTTTATACTATGTATACAACTAACAATACGATGTGAGACAATTTTATTTCATGCATTCTAGTTGCATACTGAATTAATTGTGTTAATCACATATTATGCTGCGATAATAAGTACAACAAATGTGCAGGTTTAATAGACAAGCACTGCTTTAAAAAAGCATAAATATTATAGGACAGAACAAAGTGGAAATACATCAAAAAATTAACGTAAAAATAAATAATAGTAAAAAATAAATGATCAACGTTAGTTTTCTATGCACTACTATTAATTCAATGACTATGTCAGAAACAAATTACATACAAACAAAACATAAATACATTTAAAACCTACTACAATAAAGACACAATCCTATATCTTACAACATCGAAACTTATTTATATAAACAACGATGTACACGAAATAATCAACACCTTTATTACCTTCGAAATAACGACACTATATAGGATCTTTTATTATACGATTTAGTGTTACACTATTACTACACTGATTTTCAACTCTGCATCGTGATGTTGTAGGACCTTTTAACGGAGGTGAGCAGTCCGGAGGTGAAGTCTACGACTCCGCTGACAGGTCGCACGACGAGGCCGACAGCGCCGTGTCCGAGGCCGCGCACGAAGCCGCCCGCCCCGCCCTCCTGCGCGCCCTGTATCGGCCGCGTCAGCACGCCGCGCACGCCGTCCACCACACCCTAAACACCCCCCACCCACCCCACTGACCATTGCACCACACACGGACTTATTGAACCTAACTTCTACTATTGTACTCCTGTTTGCTTATTTATGACGCTATTTGTATATTTTTCAAAATCACGATATTAAGTCGCGACACCACAGTCTACTCTCCGAAACGACAGTTTTGTCTAAACAACAATATACCAAATACGAACATAACACCAACCAACTTGACACATCTTTCAAATAGGACGGGTTAATTCAACTCGACAGTAAAAATAAAACTCCAACAAACACGCCGACGACGAGACTTCTTTTACCATTTAGACCAGTTTGTATAAGTAACCCATGTGTTATTGCGATACATACAAATATATACATTAAACAAAGGCGCATGCAAAATAAAACAAAAAGTGAAGCGAGAGGCAGCGGGCATGCGAGCAAGCGAGCGGTACTCGCTCACCTCTTGACGGCGTCCAGTGAGCCGGACGCGAAGTCCACGACCCCAGCGGTGGGGCGCGCCACCAGGCCCACGGCACCCATGCCCAGACCTCTGAAGAAGCCCTCCACGCCGTGATCCCGCGCGCCTTCGAACGGCTTCGTGAACACACCCGTCACGCCATCCACTACGCCCTAGTTTGTAATACACCAAAACACTCTATAATATCACACACACATCACATGGGCGACACCAGTCAATCATAATATCATAATTACTTTTCATCAATATATCTATTAGATTTAGTAGAAACCATACCATAACAAGTCCTTTCCCGCTCCTCGCCAAACCTTCCTGCAAGTTAGCTGGAGGTTTGTTGATGTTATCGCGCCGGCGACGTTGGTAATCCTATAGATACAATCAAAATCTTCATGATGTTGCTAATATGTCGCATTGTATGTGTATAGGCAACAAAGTATGTAAGCAAGTGTATTATACAATGAATCAGGGCTAGGTGACCTTATCTAGTGAGAGCGCGGCCAGGCCGTGTCCCATGGCGCCGGTGATGCGTGACACCGCGCCCGCCGCTCCGCCCACCGTGTGCCCCACCAGCGACCGCACGCCCAGCATCAGACCCTCCGCGAACTCGCCCGGACCTTGGATTGCACCCTGCAAACACCATTTATGTCATTTAATCCACAATAATAAATATTAAAATAATGTAGTATTTGTTTTTAAGAAAAGGCCTTACCTAAACGAATAGGGGACAGAACTGAACGCTCTAAGTATGTGGCGCTAGAGCCAAGAGTGGGCTTTCATCTATCAGATACCAAGTTTTCATACATTCTAGCAATCTTAAAAAAATGTATAAATATTCCCATTGCGTGTCATATTTGGAGTTGATTAACAACTGAACAAAAGAATAAATAGATAAACGAATGAAGTAAGCTAACACATACTTGGAACGGTTCATAGAAGAGATCCTCGACTCCTTTCTTGAGTCCGATAACGAGGCCGTAGGGATTGCCGATGACGTCTAGACCTAGTACTAGCACGTACAGCTGCTTGAGGGCCTGACCCGTGTAATGACTCTGCACTTGACTGATCAGTTCCTTCTGTGATAGGAACTCGTAGTTCCTCTCGTAATATGATAACCTAGAAAAGCATAAGAGACGTTTAAATGTAAGAAACTCAACTTAGATGACTTAACATTTTTGTATAAGATTTTTTTTAAATAAATAAAAAATTAAAAAATGTACAAACTTAAAGACGACGTCATTCATATCAGTCAAGGTGACGCCGATACTTTGTAGTAAAGTTCCTACGAATGTAGGAAGTTGCGTTGCACCGCCCAAGGAAAATGATACGTGGACCTGAAATATACATTGTTTTCTTTACTTTTGAAATTATTTGGATCCCTGCTCATATAATTGTTTACCTCAAAAGTGCTTTTATTAGTACAAGTAGTAGTACAATATTTGTCTCTAAAGTCCTTGACTATATAAACAATAGAATTAACGTATTTTCTTGAAAATTCAGCACACGTTAATTCTTTTAAACGAAAAGCATACCTTAAGCGGTGACAAGTGCAGGTTGTCATAGAAGTTCTTGAGGTCGGAGGCGGCGCCGAGAGCTGCCAGCGCCTCCAGCGGCTGCCCCGCGCGCTCCATGTCCAGCTGGAACGCGTCCAGCTGCAACAACACACGATACACTTTACAAGATACTATGACCTTCTCATTTGTACTTCAAGGTTTTACAATCTTATATGTCTTCTTAAATGCAAAGATTGAAGATTCCTTCTTGTTTTTTTCTAAGTTGTCTTACCGCCTCCTGTTCGGTGAGAAGTCGCTGCGGGAACATGCCCATGAGGGCATTGATGAGGCCCATGTCGACCTTCACGTGGAACTCTTGGATGAGCACCTTGTAGTACTTGTATTGCCGCACCTTGCTGTGCTCCATTATGCGCTCCACAATAGACACCTCGATGAACGGCTTCATACCTTCAGATAATATCAGAAAATTGTACAAAAGGTCTTTCTAACCTTGATATTTTTGTAAATTACACATTTAAAGACTTTTCATATTATGTAACATAAGTCAGCCAAAATGGAATGATTAGACTACGACATTATACACGGGTACATTGACCGTGGTTTTTCAGACCAAAATATCTTTTAAAAGATATTATTATCACTGTTTTGTCAAAGATGCGGACAAAGATAACTTACTATTTTAGTTTTATAGGGAGATTCGGTCTTAGAAACCCACGGTCAGCACATACATTGAAGTGACTCTGTATGTATACGCGTGTATTTTCACTGACTCATACCTAAAGCTTCTCCCTGGCTGGCTAAAAAGTCTACAATATGATGTACGCATGTGGCTTAGTACCGTTGGGGTCGTCGTTAGCGACGGACTTGGGCGGAGGCACGGGCGCGAGCAGCACGGGGAATGTGGGCAGTGGCAGCTGCTGGTCCACCTGCAGGCGGTGTAGGCGAGCGTGCAGCCGCCTCGAGTGCGCCGTCACGCCCAAGCTCGCCCACAGTCCCGGCTCCTGCGTGCGCCGCATAAGACGCGGGGACGGCTTCAGAATGCGCATCTCTTCGAAGTCCACCTGCCGGATACAAGTTTGTTAATTATTACCTACATAAACTTTGTGTCAGTGATCGTTAATATCATTAATATGTGTTAACAGGTGCAACTTACTTCCATTTTTTCATCAATTAATATTCTACACGGCACCGGTTCGTCGCTGACCATCTTCTCAGTGATGTAGCGTTGGTAGGCTTCTTCCAGTTGAAGCAGTTTCGGGCCTTCGATCTTCTTGTAGCGACGAGCTCCCAGCTTGCACTGCTCCCAGATTATTCCAGAACTGATACACAAATAAGAGAACTTAGAAAGGGATTTTTAATAGAGACGGCACTTTTTGATTTGGGTAAATTACTAAGACATGGTCTCCTAATGACATGCGAAAATAAAGTATAGCTTTAATTGGGCGCCAAACAAGACGTTAAACATATTCTACTGACTTGGATATGCTGACGTATACGATCTCTAGTGCCTCCATGTCATTAACTAGGGATAGTCCGAGGCCGTGCATGGCGAGGACGAGCTCGGTGCGCAGCGGCTCCGCCTCGCCCAGCGTGTGCGCGCCCGCAGCCAGCAGCGCGTCGCCAGTCAACAGCACCACGCGCTGCAGCCCGTCCAGGAACGACACCCACGACATCCGCTCCGTCTCGCTTATCCTGTATACACAATATTACATTTAAATATCAATTTTGCAGGTGACGGTGACGAAAAGGCTGAGAGTTGTGTGTGGGTACAACAAATCAAATCTAACAGTAGGTTTCAAATGCAAAGATACTCGAATCTATACATATTGTAGTCTTTGTTTTATCAATGAGAATGAAAGGGATGACAATATGTTTTGATACAATTGTACAGTAAAAAATGTATACTTACATAAATTCTCCAATACCGTCTTTCCTAAGATCGTTGTATATTTCAGTCTTCTTGTGGCCTTCGAATATCAGCATGCGGGGCCCGGCTGGATTATCCCACGTGAACAGCATACGATGCATAGGTGGTATTTTTCTAAAATATCAATAAGATTATAAAAGCTAAATATGCTAACACGTTCAGTGTCGTCAAAACGCCAAGTCCACTTTACGTGGCTTTGAACGTGTTAAAAGTTGGTACATGATGACGTCACTAGGTGCACTTACTTGACGTTAACGTTCTCGCGCTCGTAGACGACGATAGGGTGGGGGGAGAAGTTGACGAGTAGCGCGGGGGCGTGGCCGTCGCGGTACTGGCGCACCGTCACATAAGTGCCGCCTTCGCTCAGCTGCACCTCCACGTGCAGCCCACCGTACTACACATACAATACATAAATACTTCGCCGCAAAACAAATAATATATAATAAATATTGTTCTCCTTGGTATACTGACCTCGTTGTTAAGCTTGAGGCAGACAGTGTGCTGTTCTGTGTACAGGAAGGGCGCGGCGTGCTCGACGGAGCCCGCTACACGTAACAACAGCAGCTTGTCCTCCCGCTCCACCACCGGCCACAGCGCTGAACTTGACTTTTGTTCAACCTAACAATATCATTGTTATTACTTCTACTACTAACACGATATCTTATATTATAAATGCGAATTTTTATATGGATGGATGGATGTTTGTTTAAAGGTATCTCCGGAACGGCTCAACGGATCTTGATGAAATTTGGCACAGATGTAGAATATAGTCTAGAAGAACACATAGGCTACTCACAAAGTTTTTATTTAATTCAGCGTAAACGGAGTCGCAGGTGACGGCTAGTCAATATATTTTTGATAACTTTGTTGTCTTTGTTGACATGGAATATTTGAATACCGTGAACATAACACAAATTATTGTAAATTATATAGAATTATACAAAATAAAAGGTTTATTTGTTAAGCAATTAAATGGCTTACACAGATTTTTTCTAACATTGATAGGTGCACATTTACCTCTCTCCAGGGATCGCCAGATCTATGTAGCTCCTGGTATTGAATAGCGAAGGGCGCCTCGTTTATGATCAGGAAGAAAGGCGTGAATATCACCATCTTCGTTAAACTATTGAACGTCAACTGATTCGTAACTGCAACCTGTGTAAAAAACAAACACATTAAAATCACACTTCTTTCAATAATTGTCTTTATTTTAAGTTTTCTTTAAATTTGTTTTTTTTTTTTGTATAAAAATTCAACCAAGATATTTATAATCTTTTTTTCTAAAGGTTGAGTAGGTTTTAATGTGCCATCATGGTTGTTTAAATTGTTATCCTATAATTTACTTGTATAACAAACCTGGTAAGTTCTTCCTTCATTCCTGCATATAACAACACCGGAGCTGCCGGGCACGTCTAGAGAGAACTTGTCCGACCACTCCCCGAACTCCACTCTAATGGCTGCCTTCTTCTTGCCGAAGAAGTTCTTAGCACGGAACGAAAATAGTATCGGTTCCTTGTAGTCTTTCGGATGGAAGATTACATTACCCATTTCATCAGCATTCTAAAAAAGCAAAGATAAAGAATCAAAATACTATATATAAATACTAGTATACAAAAATATAGTAAAGAGCTAATTTATTTTCTTATAATTTCCATTACCTATATATTTTACGCATTACACCTGATTAATGTTGATTTTCATGCAATTTATAAGCTTTATACGCAACATGCAACATGCTTTTCTAGTCTTAAATATACACCTGGAACTTTAGCATAATTTTCTAAATTAGAGGCAGTGGAGCATATTTATGTGTTAAATAAAATAGACCAATTCCTAGACAAAGATGTTATTGAACCTAATGTACAACTTGGTATTATACAAAGGAATATGTAAAGATTTCCAATCGATGAAATAGACGCGTTTCTAGAATGATCCAAAGGAGGGAAATGGGTGTGTCAAGTTGTGCTCAATATTACACAAGTGCTATCGCTCTTCTCTATTTTTCTTTCCCATAACCGAAACATTTAATAAAAAATATAAACTCTATGTTTTTATAATTTAAAATTCGTTTAGCACAAAATCTTAAGAAGAATTTAGGACTAAGTTTAACTCCCAACTACATTTATATTCTTTGATTACTAATGGAAACTCATCTAGCTAATTTCTAGACCTTTGTTAAGTAACATTTGTGATATAAAGTGTTTACACTAGTGCGTGGTAATCTATAATGTAGCCTGCACTCACCGAGCACGACGTATGACGTCTAACTAAATCACAGCAACGTGAATTTGCAATCTGTCGAAAAACTAAACATTACAGCGACGACTAATGAGTGCAATCAACCACCTACATGATTCCTACACTTGTCATAATCAAATCGATTAAATGGTATGTCTTAGAAATACATGCGAACTATGTCATTCAAATAAATATAAGGCCCTGTCCCAAGGTACAAGAACTTAAAGATAGCTAAATTTCAATGTTTTTTATACCATTGTTAATTGTTTTTTTAATTCGAAAGCAACTCATAGTATATAATTATACTTTGAGATATGGCCTATTGTTAATGCAAAGCAAAAGATATGGCGTATTCACGATTCTATTATCGAAACCAAAAAAAACTTAAGAACAGCATAGATATAATTAATAATTGTTAATAAATAGCATTAATCGAAATAAAATGAACCGGCAAAGTAAAAGAAAATACAGTCGGAATACTACAAGCATCTTAAAGATACCTTGTTGGGTGAGCTGGAGTCTTTTTCTGGTTTCTTTGATTTCTGTAACCATTTAATCTTTTATAGCCAATTGAAGGAGACAACTACTTGTTAGTGTTACATCACACTACTTTTTACATGGACATACACAACTGGTCTAATGGTAGAATTAGTACAATTTTGATACTACCGAGTGAATACGATAGAATTCATTTATAAAAATTAAGGATACACGATACAAGACGGAGTTCAACGAGACAATAAAAAGCATAAATATAACCTGTAATAAATATAATCTTTTTCAAATAACCTATAGAAACCTATAGAAATAAAGTCATCATCCAAGATATACGAGTTTACGCTTCTCAATACTATAGAGTCTTCAATCATTATTAAAATTAATGTTTGCTAAATACTCTTGAATATTTACTGTAGATGTATTTCGTACACTAATAGTGGAATGTGTACTGTATACTAACTTTGTAATTGTACTGTATGCTAGTAGTGTAATGTGTACTGTATACCAATTGTGTAATGTGTACTATATTCTAGGTGTGTACTGACCCTGTAGCAGAGCGTGAAGCCGGTCTTGTTGAGCATCCAGAAGGGGCAGTAAAGGGAGAGGACCTGTGTGCCCTCAGTATCGCTGCTATGAACACCCAGGTCTAAAGTCATCACAGACGGGCTGTCGTGAGACTCGAACGACCAGACGGACAGTTCCGTCTCCTCATCAGGCAGATTCTTGGTGCATACCCAGCATTTATCTAAGTAGCTTTGTATCTGAAAATTTTAAATGTATAATTAAAATGTCGCATATATTAGTACTGCTTATGGATAAAAGTTAGATTTTTGAATAGTAAAATGCGTTTGGAATAAATGGTTAGTTGATTTCATAATTTCAATTTTGAAAACATGTATAATAGACAATTGATGTAACATCTTACCATGACAACAATGGAGGCTCTATTTGGCGCGAGATGTGACAGATGGAACATCTCTCCGGGCTTGAAGATTTGTGTACGCTTGAGGCCGAGCTGCGAGACTACGATGTCGACGGGCAGGCAGTTCTGCAGCTTTACCGCAGGCTTCAGCACCACCTCGTAGCACGAGGACGCAAACGTGTGCCGGTTCGAGTGCTCAAAGAATACTTGCTCCATACTGCCCACCGCCTGTTATAGAAAATTACAAATTATATTGACATGAGAAGATAGATGCTACATAGACGCCGCCACCAACGATTTTTATTATTGAGGAAAGCTCATTTGACTTACTTTTAGATAAAACTTTTCACCACTAGTCTTATCCTTTGAGTCACACTGCAACAGCTTTGTTATGGACACTTCATTCTGCAATTCGCGCCAAATGAATGGCGATACGGACACTGTAAAACCTGAAAGTAATAAATTTATATGTAGATGCTCGACTCCTATCACATTTACTATGAATAAGGTGTTAGTACCTTCAACGGAGAAGAAGAGTTCCGCGGTGGGCGTGTGCACGGCCTGCAGCGGCAGCCGCAGCACGCCGGCCGGCTTCACCTCGCCCAGCAGCCGCACCTCGTTGCCGCTCAGCGTCATGTAGTACACCGACACGTTCACTGACAGCGTGTTTATTACCTACAACACGCCATGAAAATTATATACATTCTAATTTTATATTAATGTATGTAGAGGAGCTCCAAAATTATTTACCACTAGTAATATTATAAATCCTTTTTTCTCGTCTTGCGGCACCGAGAACCTCTTAATTTGTAGGCAGTTCTGTATTAAGCTCTTTCAAATCACAATAAAATCCACCCCTGACCAATGTCTTTGGCCTAACAATATTCTATTATTTAATAATACTACAATATTTTTTAACCAGCTGAAGACTATTAAATACGTAGCAATTTACCTGCACGATGCTACGCAGATATATATGCAGCGCGGCGTCTTGCATCATGATATCGGATATGAGTCCGCGCGGCTCCACAGCAGCGGCGTGAGGGACGTGCTTCTCCAGCGTGCCCGTAGTGCCCGCCCCACCAGTCGCGCCTCGTGACCCTGAATGTCGCCGTCCCAAAGTGAAGTACCGTTTGTCTGCACGCTCCACCGGGATTATTATTTCTTCGTCTAGTTCCACTATCTAAAATCATATTTTTTTGTTAATTTGTGGAAAAGGTACTGTTATTTCAATCGCCCATGATGGTGGTATTGATGATACCTTAACGTTTAATTTAAGAGGCGGAGGCGGTTCGTTAAGTTTCATCAAATTGAGACCGCCATGTTTCAGTTGCAAAGGAACGCATGCGCCCGGCTCTAGGACAACTTCTCTGAAATATTAATGTTTAATTAGTCACTGTAATACATGTCTGACAAAAAAAATGTACATTAAATTTGTAACACATTAAAGCTTAATTCCTTACCTATAATCACTAGACTTGTGTTCATCTATGAGAAAAACTGAGAAATCTTTGTTATTCTGTAGTAAAAGCTTCGCTGTGAGGCCGATACAGTTATGTAGAACATACGGGGCGCCCAAGTATTCCTTTTTGGTGATCTAAAAAAAAACAATATATCCAAAACACAAAAAGATGTGTATGATGTAACAGTTTATAAATTTGTAAGAAATAATATACATACATCGTCAACCTTAGCCTTGGTGAGAATGGTGGTGTCGGCCTCGGTGGCCACTGCGGCGGCAAACGAGTTTCCTAGCTGTGTCAGCACCTATAACGAAAAAAAACATTTAAGTGTTACTTTAATTTGGCTGTTATTTATTCTATAATAAACAAAATCTACTCTCCAATCGCAATATTCACTAGGTTTGTGTTTAAATCATTTTTGTATTCTATTATAATTGTAACAGCTGACATACTTCCATGCCGGTCCTGGTGATGGTGATCTCGAGAGGTTCGCTGCTGGAGATGGTGATGGTCTTGTTGGCCTGCCGCTGCGCCACCACCTGCAGGTTGGCCGCCTCGTCCGTCGTGTCGATTACTGTGTGCGTTTCTTGTGGTTTCATAACAACCTACAGACGAATAAAATAACACATCTCATATATATTTTTGTTTATCCCATACCTTTGTACTTACACTTAACTGCCTTTTGCATTCTTACGTAGTTATTAAGAAAAGCCTTTAGTGGTCACTTAATGACTTCGGATGCAGTAGTAAGTGACATCTCGTGTGTCTATACCAATGTATCATTAATGGAAAATGTTCAGATTTATTTGTTGTTCTAGTTGTACCTCCATCTTGAGTTCCCAAGGCACGTGCCTGTACTGCGAGTCCTTGAGTACTTCGACTGGCTCGATGAGAGGCTCCCACACGGCGCGACCGATGTTGTAGTAAGACACCTGCATCGCCCACGTCGACTCCATGTACAGCTGGCGAATTCAAATTCAATTAAAATCAATTATTTCGTTAAAATAATTCAATTAACCGTAAGTTTCGGAGACCGAAATTATAGAGATGGCGATATGTTTTATAGAGATTTCGATTTGAGAAAACAACTACATGCGTCATCAGCATCATAAGTAGTCTCCAATACTGTAGAATTAGTATGAGAAAACGACACTAAGGGACCCATTAACGATTCTGAATGTGACAATGTATGTGACTCACATCAGAGCTCCAGTCTCTGAGCTGCGCGGTGAGCGAGGCCTGCATGACGAGTACTGGTATGGTCTCGTTGCCTATGTCCATCTCCAGTGAGATAACTATGGAGGGGCTGGACAGCAAACAGATCTCCCCCGCTGGAGGCCGCTCCTGCTCCAGCCCCGAGGGTGACTCCAAGTTGATCGCTTCCTCTGCCTCCTCTGGAATTAAAAAAAAAACCATCAGATATAGTACCTCCTGTTATAACTCTCTCTTGTTTCTCACTCACTATCGAGGACATCGCCTGTCGTTAAAAGAAAAGTTGTTGTCTCTGTTTTTTGTAATAGAATAAAAAGGATATCAATATCAATGTGTTTAACATTTCAGTGATATTCTGCGATTTGATTTAATAAAATGTAAAACTACTAAATAAATTTTCTTAGTAGTGACTATTTAGCAAAATATTAATAAGGGCTGAATATATTTTTGCGAGTTGAAAATAACTATGTAGTTTACCAGTTTTCAAAAACCAATATGAGTTAGGTCGGAATGGTTGTATGGCCCACAGGTTGTCGTATATGATGGCCTTGTCGTCCTCCTCCACGTTGTCTTCCTCGCTGCTCGTCATCGTGGCCAATACTCGATTCAATAGACCAATTATATCTTTAAACAAAAAAAACCTTAAAGGCTACATTTTAAGTACATCCAAAAACACTAAAATGATATTTTTTGTAAATAGCAAAGCTCTAACTGTAAAGGAGACTCGGTTCATGCTATATGTTTTAGCTCCATAGAAATAAGTATCTTAACACTCCAGACATAAAAATAAATCGGCTATATCAACTGTGAATTTTATTCTTATTTGGGTTTGCTGTGGTGTGTACTGACCGGGCGAGACTGTAAGCTTTATATCGGAGACGGCGAGATCGACGTGCGGCCCGCTGCCAGGCGGCTGCGAGAGCGCGAGCGAGACGTGCGCAGGCGCAAGTAGCGTGCGTGGCGCGCCGGCCCTGCCTAGCTGGCGCAGCACCAGCTGCAGCCCCGTCACTCCGCCCTCCGCCACCATGCGCTCTACCGTTCGTCGCAGCTTGAAGCGACCCTCCATCTGACATATTACATACAACACTTGTAAATTGGATTATCTTTAGTTTTGTTTATAACCTATACATAAAGATTTTTTTACTTGGAAAAATAAATTGACACTGTAAAAATGCTGGTAATATGTATTTGTACAGGTGTCGCTCGGCTTCTTCTGTTCAATACTAATTGAACATATATAAATATCATAAACATTCATGTTCTCACATTTAGGACCAGAGCGTCGCACTGCTTCTGCTCGAGTGACTCCACCAGTATGATGTCTGGCTGCTCGATCTTTACATTGACGGTCATCATGGACGGCTTCTGCGCAGGCTCTACCACCGCACTGCTCGTCATCGTCTTCCGTCTCTGCACCAATATAATATTATTATACACTATAGACTACGATAGCTAAAGAGTAAAAAAAACTATTCTAATGATCCTTTTATTACTAAATTTACACTAGGAAGGACTACTTAAACTCTCTGAGTCTCTGTAAAATTATAAAAGTAAGTACAAAAAAGAGATGAAGAAACTGATTAGCATGTTGAACTTGATTAATGTCCAGTTAGGATAGATTGAAATATTATACTAACGGCAGCATTGTCTATGGACTTGTCAGCGTTGGGCTTGAGCTTGACGTCTGCGGCGTCAGGCGCGTCCTCCGCCAGGCCCGTCGTCATGAACTCCGCGATCTTGTTCAGGAAGTCCATCGCCAGAATCAGATTGAAACTGAATATTCTCATGTCGACTGAAACATAATATTATATTGAATTTACTTTATTAATTCATAGAAATATAAATAATTTGCATTCTTCTCATGTTGGTGTAATATATGAAATTCTGTCAAACTTACTAAATGTGTCCGAGTTCTTCATAGTGTATGTGATATCGATCATGCTGCGTATTTTATCGTTTGCCTCCATAATAGTAGACGATTCCTGCGTTCGTTCTAACAATGTTTCTTGATTATCACGCCGTCTTTCCAGATATCTATACAAAGAAATAAAAATAATTTTCTTTCTACTTTCTCTTACTTCGTGTCAGTCAGTCAAGTTCCTTATTTATTTATCTCGTTTTTTAGCATAAATGTTAACAATTTGTTACGTCCCACTACCCGTGAAATTCAACTGCCACGACATTTGTATGCAAACATTTTTTTTAAAAATAATAACAATATGCTTTTAGACAAGTATTACATTTGTGTAAACTCTACAGTCAATATCTAACAGTCAATAAATACCGTGTAATCTTAGCCCCTCTTCCTGGGCGCGTGTCGTCCAACGTGCAGTCGACCAGCAGTACCGAAGTGTGCAGAGAGCCGTCCGAGAACATCCGCCCCTTGACCGACAGCAGCGCGAGGCAGAACCGCGCTAGATCCACATCCAGACTCTTTGATGGATTCTCAACCTAAAAAAAAAGAAAATTTGATCATGTCTATTTTCATAAATGTTGCCTAAATATTTGTCGACTTCTATCAATCATTCAATGTTACTAAATTTTGTTTTCTTAAAAAGAAAGCAGAATATTAGATTTTTTTATTGACGATTATTTAGATTTTTATGTTATTATATGTTTTGTTTCCCCATTTATTAACAAAAAAAATAGTATTTAGAAGAATTTACAAAGTACTTACAGAAACAGTAGTATTCAAAAGATCAATAACGAAGCTATCCATAGTGAATGCAAATTTAATAGTTGTCCTGGGTTTCTTGTCCTCAGTGGGTGTGACAGGAGTTGACACAGATTTGACTTGCACTTTGCTGATCTGAGTCTTGACTCCGGCCTTGGATGTAGCCTTGGGTATGCTCTGTGCGGCTTTTGTGTCTTCAGTCTTTGTCTGTCCCTCTTGAAGGTTTTGATTTAGGATCTTCATAATACTCTTGTAGTCGCTGTGCCCTACTGTTATCTGCAAACATTGAATTATATTAAGATTATGAACTTTTCTTTGCATTATTTTATGTTTATGAAGTTCTCTACATATAGAGTGTTAGGCGATTAAAGATCGTTGTTATTTGAATGTATTGTAATATATAATGTGCGTTACCGCGATGGTATTCATCCTGCCGGAGATGTCTAGGTCTGGCAGTGTGTCGTACCACTGCGACAGGCTGCGCTTCACAAACAGCTTGAAGCTGGTGGGACGTAGCAACTTGCGCTCGTGCAGCACGTCCAGCTGCTCCGCGCGCAGCTCCACGCACGACAGCTTCATATCCTCCAGCTCCAGCATCAGCTCGTCCACTGTCACCTTGTTACTTACGTCCTGTTTCATAATATTGAATGTCACATTATGTAATCACAAACGGGAATCTGATATTTTAAAGTAACCATAATTCGATTCAAGTAATGTCGTCTCAGACTGTGGATCCACTTATCACTTTTAATGTCAAGTTTTACTGGCAAATTATTAATTGCGCGTTATAGTTCGTGAAGGCAGATTTTAAATCAAAAAATATACACCGTGAAAGGGGTTGACCATAGATATAGTGGTTCTTATACTCACAGCGACAGGCAGATCAACGAACTGGTTATTAAGAGTCATTCGTCCAAGGTCGACAAGCACGGCGTGTCGGCTGGTGGAGTTCTCCGGTACGAGGATGATGGGCGCAGCAAGGCGCACCTTCAGCGACAACTTTGTCAGGTTCTGGTACGCGTTCTGCACATTGGCACGCGCCGCGTCCGCCGCCTGCGACGACGCTTCAATGATCGCTTGCTGTGCCGTTTGGAAGTTGTTCAGGAACTCCTGCAAATACACGTAAGCAATGAAATTAATAAACAAATCATGAACAATAACACATGGTTCTTAACAGATTACAAACTGAAGTTCAAATTCAGTTATAGTTAGCATAATATCTTCACTTAAAAATGTAAAATATACTTACCAGCATCGATGTGACGAACCAATTTAGGAAGACGATACGCAAGCAGTTGATCTGCGCGTCTATCGACATGTTAACATCGCTGACGCTCGGATACTGCTCCAAATTGTACATCACTATTTGTACATTGATAACGTCGCCGCCGAGCACTTTTAGAATCTAAAAAAAAAGAAATGTAGACACAACTGTAAGAAAATTAAAACCTTTTAATACATCAATTTCAAGTCGCGCGTTGTTAAAGAGTAAAAGTCGCGGGAATGGCGAGGTAAGGTGCCACCGGTTGGAGGTACTGAGCAACAAAATTTTCTCGACTAATACCGATATTCGGATAACATTGTTAACTGACCTCTCTATGTATAGTCTCGGGGTTGAGGTCCTCTACTTTAATGGATGCGATGGCGCAGTCAAGTTGTGTGTAGGAGGGTTTCAGCACGAGGCCGGCACCGGCACCCTGCAGACGCAGCACGGCAAGTGGCCGGCGCTCTGTTGCGAATCCAATTTCCACTGCTCCGATCTTCACGTTCACCTTCAGCTGGATGCTCTCAATCTGCTTACGACGCGCGGGCTTTGATACACTCGCTGAAATACATATTTATTTATAATGTTACGTAGTTTTAGTTCAAAAACTCTCTCCATCCAAACCTCTGTCTCTCTCACGGCCTTTCTTGCCTCTTCGCAAATCACAAATCCACATCTTATCCAAACAATGCAACTTTAGCAAAATACCTTTTGATTTGGCCACAGAAAATTCTTCATCTTCCATAATAGTTTCCAATGGACCTGCATTAGCGTATCTGTCGACTTTGCTTTGGATGTTTTGTAAACGAGTCTAGAAAAAAAAAACAAAAAAAATTGTCAATGAAAACAAAGTGAAATGAATCAGCAAAGCAACAGATTTTAGACCACACTTGCAAACGCAAAGGTTTTGTATTTTATCACTCTTGTGAATTTTAATATTAATAAAATATTATACTTTTTAATCATACCTGATATTCATTGGCAATGATGAGTATCTCTTGCAGCCCTTGCAGATGTAACAAGAGTTTGAGTGTGGTGAAATCTAATTCAATAAGTTGCTCGATAGATCCATAATGACTTCTGAATTCTGGACATTTCTTGTCAACCTAAAAAAACATATTACTTTAAACATCAATTTATTTATTAAAGAAAGCTCTATAAAGAAATTATATTTTGCATAAAAATATGAGAAAACCTAACAAAGATTAACAAGCATCGTTTTATTTAATATTTTTGCAATTTTTACATTGAATTACAAAAATCAAAGGAACAGAAAACTTTTGGAAATTAATAGTACAATTTTCATATTAATAAATTTCCATACTGAATTAGCTGTAATAAACTTACATTACGATACGTGACCGCGAACAAATACTGACTGGTTGTCACGGCTGTATCCGTGACGTCAATATCCGGTACTTCTGGTGTTTCTATCATATTGATAATACGATGTCCAGTTCTGTGATGCTGCATGTTGACCGCGCCCAGTCTCACAGTCGCCTCTAATGTGAACGTCTTCTGGGTTGCTGTTAATTCTAGCAATTGCAGTGAGAACACTAAGAATTTGTCGTAACCTCGAGATTGTGCTGATATCTTTCGATTCACGCTAAGAATTAGTTCTGAAAACAATGGAAAATGGATTATGATATACTCAAAAAAATACGTTGAAAAAGCAGATTAATTTGTAATTTACTAACTAATAATTCTTGTAGCCATTGCAACAAAGTTCTAGGATACGGTTCAATGACGGGATTCGAACCCACGGCTACATTAAATGTCTTTAAACAAGACTATTGGCATATCATGGCACATAAAAAGGACTTTATATGCCTTTTATTAATTATCTTTACCTTTCATAATAAAGAATGCCTCCACTTCTGTCAGCTGGACGGATTGTTCATCAGTTTTCCTTTGCTTTGAGCGCGCTGTGTCCCTTCTCTGTTTCTCTGCAGGGTCCAAATACTTGAGCAATGATAGACTCGACGCCTTCGAATCGCTGGCCTAAAATTAATTAAAAATGAAATTATTTACATTGCTTATAATTATGTACGTTCCTAAAATGAGTATTATTTTAGATTATACAACGTAATATCGTATATAAATAAATTATTAAATAAATCGAAAAGACTACATTATAAATTCTACAATAGATGACATTCTAAATTCTTAATTATAATAACATTTTCCTACGAGTGTATAACTACAAACATACATGTTCCTTAGTACATTTAATCTAAAAATGTGACTTTATTGACAGCTAAGAGTTACCGCAATGCCGTCGGTGCGAGGCTCACCAAAGAGCGGGTATTCAAGCACTTGACCACTCACAGTATACGCAAATTTGTAGCAAAATATCTTCGGACGGAAAAAATAAAACAAACTCAAATAAAAAGGAAACTAATAGCCACTAAATAAAAGGTTTCATATCTCAAATCAGTAAAAATGTTAGATGCGGATAGGATGAAGAGAAAAAAAAGTAAATATTACCTTTAGTTGTGTCGTCTCTTCGGATTGTGGTAAAGGCATGCTCACTAATATTTCGCATAGTGTTAGCAACCTGAAAATAATTAACGTATTATTTTGAAGTCGTTATTTAATACGATTTTAAGACGCCAAGATATTTGTAAAAATCAATACCTATCCTCTGAGACTGAGATTGCAATCTTCTCCAGTTCGCCGCGGACCTTGATCTTGGGCATACGTGGGTCGTCGGTGATGAGGCACTTGTGTATCTGTATGGTGAGGTTTGTGGGCTGCAGTAGATGCAGCGGCGTCCCTACCTCAGATCCTATAGCCGTCTGCCACTCCTCTTGTGCTGACGCTATGACGATCTGAAAGTAACGAGTAAATTTTTACCAACTGGTACACAATAACAATCGTAAATATCTTAGACTACAAGCTGATCTAATCAAATTTTACAACCATGTATGCGAACTTTTTATGGTGAAAAACAAGCAAGCGGGTTCACCTTACATTAAGTGACCTCCCATATGTATGTAAAATCCTCCTGCATCATCATTAGAGGAAATACAGAATACTTCTATTCAAAAATTTATAGCGCCACCTATCATCACAACAAGACATTACCTGCATCTCAGTAAGCTGCAGCGCCATCTTGTCGTAGCTACGCGCTGTGATCTCGCGCAGGATATCCTCATCTGCCAGCCCCTCCCGATGCAGCTTGTGCACGTCGAGCGTCTCCGGTCGCGGCGCAGACTTCACACTGATCGCACCCAGCTTCACCACCACGCATGCTTCGTTACTATGAAAACGTAGTTTAATTATTATAATTATCCATTTCAACATTCGTCTATCCCCATATTGACTGTTCGAAAGTTCTCTTTATTACCTTAATATGGTTTAAATAACATTTAAATTTAAATACATAAATAAAAAGATTGTCAATTGTATGTTGAATAACAACATAATTTTTGTTTGCTTACCCTCTGTATATACCAGTCTGGGGCACAATAATGTATGAGGCGGCGATGTCTATATCCAAATCGATGAATGTATGATGATGCACTGCATACTGCATTCCCAGTGCGGATTTTTCTTTTAAATCTGACAATTTATTACCCGCTGCAGCTTGTAAACTGAAACATAAATAAATACAACAGATAAACTATTTTTGAAATACTAATTACTTTGTGCAGTCATTTTAGATTTGCTTCAATTATTAATATACTGTTAGTTGTTTCAGAAATCATATTTTACAATAACAAACAGAAAAGAAACAACTTTTTACTTCCTATGTTGAAATTTACTTAGAACTTCTGTGCAATATTGCAAAAAAAACCTTCTACAAATATTGTAATTCTTAAGGCCTGTTCTTGAGGCCTATGTCAACGTAAGTCCTAAATAAGCTACTTGGAACTAATCTCTCGAATAAAGTCGACTTTAGCGTTTAACAATCTCGAAATAAGCCGTGAAATGCAAATTATTTTGACATGAAGTGTGTTAATTTATTTAATACTTATTCAAAACTTTACTTGGACATTGTGAAATAGGCGCTTAGTATATATGACATACGTGGTCAAAGCGGTGGATTCGGTGGGTGGTTTGAAGACGTTGACAATCTCGATGACAGTCTGCGCGTCATACACAATTTGAAGCGGCCGCGCCAGGACCTGTACCCGTTGGTCACACTTGCCGTCTGCAAACACAAACAACTCTTTATTCTATTTTATGAATATTTTATACAGTTCATTTTCGAGTCTATAAACCATGTTTCATTACATTTTAGAGATAAAAAAATCAATTTATTATTTTTCAGTCTACTGAAAGAAATTTTTTTGTTAGAGACGAAGAACTGACCTAATGGATTTGTTTCGAACACAACATTCAACAAGTTGGCGTCTTGCGTAACTTCTTTGGACGTGACCATTTGAGGCACAATATCGCCTTGCTGCACGCCAGACACCGTGAACGATTTCATTTGAACGTCAACCCTGAAAAATTGTCATATTAGTTATATTGATAACTTTTGCCCTCGATTTCATCAGCGCAATATTTAAAAAAAAGTAGCCAAATGGAAAAGGAATAAAATAAAAACATTCCCGCGTGCTTCAGCTGCCATCCCACGAAAGATCCATTAAAATTAGTCCATAATCTGTTTTACCGACACGCCCTATCATGTCGTGACGTCTCACGAGATGGCTCTGGTTACTGAGCAGTATACCTGAGTGCATTGGCGCTGGGGCGTTGGTTCATATCGAGCTGTACGGTATCGACCCGCGCGCGCAGCACCTCCGCCTGATCTGTGACGGCGAGTTGCAGCCGGTCCAGCCGGAAGTGACCTTCTACCGCCACGTACTCCACGGGCAGGTGTAGCGGCGCGCTGTTCTCCTGGTAGTCGATCGCACGGAACAGCTTCTCCTTCTCCTCCACCGTCATGGCCTTCTCGAACTGTTTCACTGGAAAACAAATCCACAATCGTAAACCAGTTGTTGACAGAGACTATACTCAACGACTCATAGTTAATAAATCCGAAATTCGTATGATTCCTATGTAAAAAGAAAAATATATAAGAAAATTATATATTTACTTATAGCAGTGCCTTCTGTAAGTTCTTCATCCTTGGAACTGCCTCTAGACCACCAGCCTCCGAACCAGCCTCGAGACTTACGGGCTTCTTCTTCCATTTTACCCAATCTTTCCACCTGTAGAAGATAATAAATTCAATAGATTTAAATGTTTGGATGGATGGATGGATGGACGGATTAATGGATGTTTGTTTGGAGGTATCTCCAGAATGGCTGAACGGATTTTGTTGAAATCTGGCACAGTTATAGAACATAGTCTGGAAAAACAGAGTCGCGGTCGACAGCTAGTAGGATATAAATAGTTAGAGAAAAACAAAAAAAAACTAGTTGTAGAGTTATAGTGGAATGACAAATGTCACTCACCTCCATTTCTATCCTCTGTCTGATGACTACTAAATTAAGAAGATCTAATGACTTCTCAGCTTGGCAGATGGTATTATTCTGATCGGTGGTAACTTTCCCTTTATTAGTGAGCTTGCATTGGTACGCGCTAGCATAGTCCTTGCACAGCTGACGATGGCTCAGCATGTGCGTCCAATCCCAATTCTTACGACGACGTCTAACTTCGTCTTCTAATATACAAGTGTATGCAAAATGCCACCATTGTTTGTAATGATTCTTGTATGTCTTTACGTCTGGACGGTATTTCCTATGATCAAAAAAAAAATAGTTTGACTTGGATAGAGTTGATTATTTAACCAACTGTTTGCATCTCTAAGGTTAATTATCTTATTAGAGAGTATAAGACTATTTTTCGTTATACTAATTTTTATACTAGCTTTCCATTTATGTAATTTTTCTACTTGAACGGAGTGTGTGATATACAAAATCCTGGTCATATGGAGTTAGTCTCTTAATGGTAGATGGATCAATGTATAGTTACAAACCTGTAGGGGGCTCCTTTGCTCATCCTGTCCATGGAATCAGCGAGCAGCATCATATCCTGGTACTGGGCCTTAGTGAGGCTGACAGACAGCTGCTCCATGTGCAGACTGAGTATTACTTTAGGTATACTGAATTTAGGTGTGTCGCCCTCCGGCTTGGGATTCAGTTTTAACTTGGCAGTGGCATTAATTGGACCCAATGCTGAAAGTAATATAAATAAAATTATTTTTTTACCATTAAGTCCTTAAATAAATGCTTAAGCTAACGCCTCAAACAGAACTATTCCTCACCATATTTATAAGAAGACGGTTGCGATGATTTTGTAGCGATCTCATTCTGAAGCCTAGTCTTGATGTCCTGAGCTTCAGACTTTGAATACAGCTCTGTCGCTGGATTCCAATAAATCGCTAATCCTTCCAAATCCAATATCTAACAACAGAAATACTTAACTTATTACCATGTTTTTAGAGATATGAAAATAAACCAGATTTAGTATTATCAGGAAATAATAATAAGAAAGTAAAACTTATTGCGAAAACACATAACATTACAATCGTCCTTCTATAAAATACATGCGCATTACATTTGCGAAATCTAGGACACTAGATCTCATTTCTAGATATCACATTTAAGAACTTCATTATTGTTGGCAGCTGTTTTTATGACTATTACCTACTTTGAAGCAACTATGTTTCATGCTTCCATAAAAATATAACTTTGATACTACAAAGATCACCAAAATTAAATAAGCATTTATTTTTATAGCATATCCTGATAATTGCTCTAGAAATATAGATAATAATATAATGAAATATCCAAATTCATTGAGAGTAGATATTGCATAATATCTTTATCAAATTTATTATAGAGACATCATTTTCATGCCTACTCTAAATGGACAGAATATAGGATGTACAGAAAATACGCACTTAACATAATCCGCGCCCTAATAAATCCATCCCTGCCATTCTTTCCTTATCAAAAACAGATTAGTAAATAAGGATGAGAATAATATATGTACCTTAAAAATTTTGGTGACAGCTTCTTGAATAACTGCTTGTTTCCAGTTCTCATCGGTGGTGTGTACAGACAGGTTGTGTAATGTGATCCCAAAGGAGAATGGGGCTTTTGGATTCGTTATACTGTCCTCATACCTTATATGGATGTCAGTTATTTTTAACTGCACATTCTTAATTATCTGTGTCACTAACTTCTCGACGAAGGTCTCATCCAGTTTGTTCTGATCTGCAGGAAGATTTACAATGTTATCATTGAAAATATGGTTAACATCTTTATCAAAGATTTATTATTTTTTATAGGACAATATTTTTTTAAAAGCAACACAATTATTTAAAACTAAAGTCTAACGAAATTAGGAAAATAATTAAAAACTCATTGTGGTCAAACAGGCTTACTTTAGTTAAAAATTAACTAATTTATTTAGATTGGTATAAAAATTCATTTTAATTCAGTAAATCATTTATATTCCAATGTGAAATATAAAATACTTAAAAGAATTAGTATACTTCTTGGACCTTCGAAGAAAGTGTAAAGAATAATATAACCATTCTCATATTTTATGTACCAATAGCGATACGATTCCATATTTGATTATCAGATATTGACAAATACAAAAAGCACTTAAGGAAACGACCATTTATAGCTATCATGATAAGATATACAATTGTGATATGCAGTCACATTCTGCATTATGCGTTTATAGGCATTTTACTTTTATCAAAATTAAAAAAAAATCTAACAATGGTTTCATTATTTACATAATGTTTTAAAATAAACTGTAAAGGGAAATTAATAACCTTTAAAGATAATGGATGTACAAATTTGAAACATGCGTACACAAATTCAGTTTGTTATCCTCATAGTTAGTCAACAGCACTTTGCCTTATACCTATATATACATTTTCCCTACCTTTTTGTGCTTCTTTCTTCTTGGCTTCTTCAACTCTGGCAAGCTCCGCTTGTTTCGACGCTAGCGCCATCTTTTCTTCCTTCTCCGGGTCATATTTAACTTCAGCAGATGGATTTACAATCAAGAAAAGTCGTTCGATTGTTGCTTCTACTGAAGCACCATATAGATTCTTCCATGGTATTTTAAGGACGAGCTTTCCTATATGTCAAGAAAAGATTTTAGTAGTCGCTTTTGCCCCTTAAACATTTTGCATGTTTAATCGCATATTATTTAGTAAAAAAAGGTGCATTCATTTAGTAACCTAACGTAGTTATCTGTTATTTATTTTGAATCTTAAACATAACAGAGTACGGCTCATTTTATTTTTCACAATAATCTAGGCTCTGATAACTTAAATTAGGGTTCATCCGTTGTAACAATAGTGTGGGAAATTAGCGCTGATTTATTATCACCGCATCGGAGGTCAGACAGTGCCGACCTTCGTGATATGTGTGACTCACTTGCGCAACAGAACTGCCGTTTTTAGGGCATGATGTCATTCCAAATTAATAGGTGAATAAATTATTACCACCATGCTCTGTGCTGCATGATAATTGCTCACCTTTATATGAACTAGGCTACTGTGATATGAATAGAATAATTTGTTAGGTATGTCATTTTGAAAAATGCCTGTTGATTGCATTGTTTTTTTTGGGATTTTGTGAACAAAACTAATGCGTAACTGAGTAATGTTACTCGCTTTTATTAGAACACTAACCCATGTTATTATTATTAATATTTAACACAAAAATTATATGTTCATTTTTTTAAATTTAATAAAAATGAGTAAAGTCCTTCTGTTTTAAACTGATTACTGTAAAAACTTTTTTTTATTAATAAAGAAAGATTGTTACAAAACAAAATATGCTTTCTTTTGTTTATTTTGATGTAAGCCCAATAGAAAGTTATCTAAACAAAGCTACATATAGTGACACAAAAATGTGCCATAGTATAGCATTCAATTATGTTAATTAACTAATTTGATTAAGTCCTCATTCTACCTAGTATATTAATTTTCCATGAACTAGACACAGCTTTTAACAATGTATTCATTCAATTGCCTATGTGTTCTAAGTAACCAAGTTCTAAGGATCAAAGGTTCTTAAGCAAACCAACACAGACCTAAAAATTTTACATCTCCCTTTTTTCAACTTGCTGTTGTAAAAGCATGAAAAGTTATGTCATGTTTGTTTAAACAAAAATATTTCACATTAAAAGCACTGTAAATAACAATAAAAAATGTATTTAGTTTTATTTACTTCATAACTATTTACGAAACACCATAATCATTCAGTTATTGCCTTCTAAGGATAAAAACTTTTACTCAAAATGTTATTAATAAGTTTTGAGTATGTTTTACAAATTATGTCTTGTGATGCAAATTATTTTATTTATCTCTCGAAAAACTTGAATGTCATGAATTAGAAATTGCAGAGGTATTTTAATATCAAGAGCGTTGGTGGCTCAGAGGTCAAGCACTTGACTTGCAATATGCAGGTCCTGGGTTTGAATCCCGCCATGTACTAATGTGTTTTTCGATTTCCGATTTACATATGTACATTTGTCCGACATTCTTACGGTGAAGGAAAACATCGTGATGCAACTTGCACATATCTGAGAAGAAAATGTAAAGATATATGTGAAGTCAACCAACCCGCACTTGGCCAGCATGGTTGTCTATGGCCTAATCACCCCTAACTTAGGGTAGGCTCCAGGCCCCTCGGAGGGGAGGTATAGTGAGCTGATGATGATTTTAATATCCCTTTAGCAATTGTAATTTTTATATAAATCTACATACATTTTTACAACATTAAATTAAATGAAAAACAATATTGATTAAACCAAGCATTACATTTTTCTTCTGTCTCATACTACCCACTTTATAATAACAGAATTATAACTTTTATTAAACTTCTATACACTATGAGTACAGCATGTATCTTATTGTCGTAAATTCTATGTTATATATCTGTTGTCATTATTTAAATAAAGAGTTTATAACTGTAACATTTTAAAGCTATTGCTCTTTATTGCTTTATCTAACAGAAAAGTATCAATAAAAAATAATTAACGACAAATAAACAAAACAAACCACTGTACTTTAGAGAACGAGGTGCGGTCTTTTTAATTTTTTGCGACTTACCTAGGTGGCCATAAACTGTCTGAACAGGGATGTTGAGTTCTTCCAAGGCATTTTGTTTTAATATTAAGTTTTCTAGCACTACGTCGCCTGAAAAATAACACCAAATTCATAAATAACTACTGTCCTACAGTAGTATGACATCACTTGACTAAAAAACTTACCGCCCCATATTCCTAACTTTAACTGAGACCTGTTCAAATTCTCCACGTAGTCCCCTAGAAATCTATTAAGAACATCAACAACTATCGATTCAAACACCATTTTTGTTCAATAATTGTTTAAACCTAAAGGTTTTAAAATATTACGATTACTTATGTCATGGTAAGACGTAACTTCGAGTCCTATAAACAAATCACATGCACTAAAAACTACTCCAAAATAACGAACACTAGATTTCTAATAAAATGGCATGTCTACGTATCATAGAAGACAAAAGAAATTGATTAAGAAATAAATTTACGCCGCCGAAAATGATTTTAAGAACAGCGCAGATTTGATTTGTTTTTGAATAGATTTAGTGATGTCCTTTTCAATTTTAAAGACACTATATCGATTGAAAAAATATACCAATTGAGGTTTTCGATACATCGATTTAATATTTTTTGTAAATTCATTTGTAGGTTTGGTAACAAAAAGTACAAAGTTTGATTGTTTGAAATATTGTACTTCTAAACTAAATTTTGAAAAATTACTTTTTATATGGAGTAGTTTAACCGCAAATCTAAAAAAGAGTCACCATGTTGCAGGAAATGCTAGTAATTATATTAATGTCAATATTGATATATAGATGTGTAACCTATAGATTTGGTGTTTTATATTAGTTTGATGTTAATAATATGACAATTTTTAGAAAAATGTATTAGACTTTAATATAAAACACACACTAGCATAATAAGTATTTCTCGAAATTGGTAAATGCAGTGTATAGAAAATAAAAATATAGGGAATAAAGTATCAAGTACAAAAGATAAAAAAAATACCATTTAGTGAAAATATGAAACAAAATTAATTTATTAAATTTGGATTTTACAAATATTACAACTTATAATATATCTTAAACTTTTTTTGAACTAAGTAATAAAAAATAAACAGAGATTGTATACAATTTTCTTACAAGTAATTTAAATTTCAACAGAGGTACTTTACCCCAAAATGATGCCTCCTAAGCTCATTATTTTTCTCGTTAAGGAATCTATAGGTTAAACATCTATGGAGAATAGTAATAAGAAAAGAGTTAATATGCGGAATCTTTAGGTTCATGATAATTTTATGAATTTATTTAAGACGTAAAACTTAAATATTGTATTCTATTTTTACATTACATAACATTTAACATGACTTATTTATTTGCAAAGTTTTGATAGGAAAAGTTTGGATTAGGGGACTATTTGGAGCGTCAGCAGTGCAGTTGGCGCTTGACCGGATCATATTTTACATATCCAGGTACGATCTCCGCTATATAGTAATGCGATCTTCGGATTTCTTGATAACATCCATCCGACATTCTTACTGTAATTACAAATTGCATACAACTGCATAGATATTCAAAGATATGTGTGAAGTCAACCAACCCTCACTGGCTCTGCGTTGTTGAATAAGACCTAGTCGCATTCCTGAGGGTAGGCTCCGAGCTCCTCAGTGGAGTATAGTGTGTCCGTATAGTGAGCTTGATGATGACGATTTGTTTTGCTTCAATGCATATTGTCTTGTTAGCAAATTTTCTAAATATTTTACCAACAGATAGAAGCTAATCTCTTTCCAGTGTTATTCTATTTCTCCCGACGAGAGTGACACTACTACTCCAGTTCTATCAGAAAATATGACCTATCAAATAAACAAACTGGAACAAATAAGCATTTATCACAGTTGGGGTATTTTGTTGGTGAACTAAACAATAATGGTATTATTACGAAAGCAGTGAGCATTATGTTGCGTTCTTAAAATATGTTCGCTTTAGTCAGAAGATTAAATTAAAGTTGCAATTAACGAAAAGGTTTTATTTTTCCTAAATCGTTTTCCCTCGAATAATACTTTCAAACGTCAAAAAGGAAACTGACAGATTGATTTTTTTAGGTTGGTAGCAACGTAGACTTGTTCATAATATTGCTAGCATTGAAAATGTCAATTTTTATTCTCCGTTTGTGTATCTAATTAGTCAAGAGTCCCGTCTCTTATTTTATATACTCTTTGGACAGCTGCAGTAAGTCTTGTGACAGTTTTTAGACATTGACAGGAGAGTGCTAGTGAGTTGAAATTTAGTTTTTTATGCCTACCGGGTCAGATAATTTTGTATGGTAACGGTTTTTATGCTACTTTCTCATTAAAAATTATAGGTATTGGGTGTAGATAGAATGAATATATTCCCTTGCATCTCAAATTTTCCATTACCAATGAAAATATCATCACTTACCATTTTGCTTTATTCAATGCTTTAAGAACAAAAATAAAAATTATTCGGATTAAAATTTATTATGACAGCTTTCATTAGTTTGTTGGACAAATTCATTAGTTTTCAGTTTCTACCAATTTTTTTATGAAACAAAAGGAATGATTTAAAAGATGTACCAAATTGGTACAACAGTAAAAGATTCAGAGAATAATCCAATATTCCAAAACAAAAAATAAAAATACGACAATTACATTTTCGCAAAGGAAATTATTAAAGAATATTCTTGCATAAGAGAAATATAACAATCCTTTCCACTAAAAAATATATATAATAAAAGGAGATAGCATAAGTTTATTCACAAACAATACTGGAATAATTTTCATTGAATTAATTCAACTATGTAATATTATGCTAAATTTATAAATCAATTTAACTGTTCAATAATAATGTATCAGATTCTAAGATACCAATTTTATAGTTATTACACTATAAGAAAATATATTAAATACTACAGAGTACAAGTTGAATAAAGGCTGCAAGCTTTTGTTTATCTGAAGTTGACAAAAAGTAGCCCAAAACGAAGAAACTCACAATACATTCTTTCTTTGTCATGTGCATATGTCCATCTCGCTCACTCTATATTAATTCAGGTAATACTTCTAGAACAAACTTTATACATACAAAGAATTCTAAAGAGTATTTTTATAAAAATAGCAATTTCGCTACAGAGTGAAACTGGATTAAATGTAAGCACAACATTTAGATTACAAGGAAACAGATATTGGCGTATTAAAATATATAACGTCATTTTGACATTTAAATATATATAAAGTAATATACACTGGTCAAAATATATTTAGAAGTTAATAAGTATAATTTGAGATACACATAGATATTTTATATTTCACATGGAATTACATTTGCACTTAAATCTATCAAGATTAGCTTAAATTGATCTGTTTACTTAACACCGTTGACATGCTTGCCATTTTCAATGACAGTTTTCTCTTCAATTAAACTTAACGATGACACTGAGATATCTTCTTCATCTGTAACAATACCACATACATTATACAAATAACTACTACAAACCAATACTACTTAAAATTCAAAGCTAGTGGGTGGCGCTAGTGTGTAAAGTCGGCTATCATCTGTCAAAGTTTTATTATGTCATTCTAGGGATTAAAAAAATCTAGTAAAGTAATACTGACCTGAACTAACATCTGACTGGTTTCTCGGGCTCAGTCGGCAACCTTTAGAGAGATAAGATTTCAACTTTCCTAATGAGGCTAGTATTAATCTGAAAAAAAAGGAGCTTTATAATTTACAGACACATTGAGATGACTGCTGTTGGTTAAAAATTTATCATTTCAAACATTTAATAGATAAATTAAGAAGAAGGGTACACAGTATTTGCTTCTCTTTCCTACATCTGTATCAACTGTCATATCTGAATACATCTTTCTTACAATTGTCTTTTTTCACCCAATTTATCTGTACTTTCTTTAGTCTCATTATCAATAAATTTATCACTTTTCCGAGAGAGAACAATGAAAACTTATAAAAGTAATATTTTCCGTTGACATACCCCATGAATGGTGGGCTGGGTGACAGCGGTCTGGAGAGGTATTCAGGGTGGAACTGCACTGTGACGTAGTACGGGTGTCCGTCCACTAGCGCCACTTCCATGCGCGTGCGCGTCTCGTCCTTGCCCACGAAGCGCAGCCCGGCCGCCTCCAGCCGCTCTATGTACTCCGGGTTTACCTCGTACCGGTGCCTGTGACGCTCCTCTATTATATCTTTCTTGTATAGTTGTGCTGGAAAAGTTACAAAAGTTAGATTGGAATAACAACTTCGAATTTACTGTTATGAAAAAAACCCGTTTATTTTTTCTTTAAAGGTATACTAAAGCAATTACTGGCATGATATAATTGTGTTATAGATTATTCAATTCAATTTTATATGCGATATAGGATTTTGTAGGCTTTCATTTCACAATTTTTAAAATGTAATCAGTACTAACATATTAAACTAGATTCCAAATACGTTTTGCGTTTGCCCAATCTCATTGTACCGCCTAGATTTCCCGGATGGTGTTCAGGCATATCGATGACCAGTTTGTCTTCACAATTAGGATCTACTTCTGTGGTATTAGCTCCCTTCAGACCGAGGACGTTTCGAGCAAATTCTATAACAGCGGCTTGCAGTCCCAAACAGATGCCCAGCATAGGTTTCTGTGTTTCGCGACACCATTGAGCTGCTTCAATCTTTCCCTCCATTCCCCTTTGGCCGAATCCACCAGGGATAATGACACCACTGAAATAAAAATTAATATTAAACTACAATACAAACACTCAGTAAATGCTCATATACTAAGCATAGCATACCTTAATTAAGTATACTTACTCGCACTTGCAAAGATCCTGCCAAGCCTTATGATAGCTAACAGGATCATCTATCTTTGTCTGACGCTCCAAGGAAACAGCTTCCACATAAGTCAGAATGAGTCTATATCCAGCTGCTATAGATGCGTGCTGTAACGCTTTAGTAACACTCGCATAGCTGTCTTCTAACTTTGTGTACTTCCCGACTAAAGTTATGTTCACTTCTTTACGTAAATTTTCCACCCTCTTCGCTAGGTTACGCCATTTCTGCATAAATCTGTAAGCAAATATATTTCTGTGTTAATTTTTCTGATTTCCTTATAAGAATGATGGGTAAATGTTTTTGTGTGATTGTTTTGGCAGTGAAAACTCATGGTACTTGTTAAACATGATTACCTAGAGTTTATTATGGCGGTAGACTTAATTTATATCCGGAAGCTTGACTATTGAATTATAGAAGATATATCAAGATTTATTCAAGGTCTGTGTAACTATTTGGCATAAATAAACATAATATACAGTTTAATTTTTTGTTTTAGTTTTATGTTTTGCATACTAAGACAAATTTCGACATACTTTAGTTATTTAAAATACTATTTCATTTCAATGAGTATTTAAATAGCGTAACCTGACCGATAACATTAGTCATGATTACTGTTATATGAGGAAGAAATATATTTACTTTATTTATTGCTCTCAAATTGAGGTAGTCTCTAAGCTTATCTACTAGGAAGTGTTTTTTTTTTATTATCTAAAAGCATACTAACAATATTGCGACTCGTCATTTGTCTAACAATTTAATAAAACAATAAGAATTATAATACCACACAATACATAAACAAAAATAAACGATCATATAGTACATATGTATTTTGTATGTTTAAGTCACAACAAGATTGTTGTAACAAGGTCATGATTACGTATGTTATTGCGTGTTAAAAATATATGGCATACAGGAATTTATAGATGAATATAAAACAGTAGATTTATGACATCATAGTTATTCAAGAAAAAAATATAGGCCCAACAGCTTTGTCATTTGCCACCTTTTGTTTACCGTATCTCTAAGGATTTATACTCTCAACATGTAATTAAAATCATTATAATATTTATGAATTCTAATTGTAGCGAGTCAAAGTGTTAATCTGCAGATTCTGAAAAGTGTTAGGCATTTAAACGTACCAAACTTAGTTTATTAAAGGGAATAAAATCTTACCTTCCTGGACGAGGCACGGACATATTCAACTGCAGTCTTTCATTGAGATACTGCACCACTCCTTGTGCTTCCATCAGCAGTGGCACGTGATATACAGAGCTCAGGTCATGTATGCATATAACCTGATTAGAAATGGTTTAAATAAGAGTACACAGAGACACAACCAAAAGTATTAAATAGAGGAGTTCTTGAATTAAAATAATATTTAAAAATGCTTTACTTAGTTGACCTACAAAATTGAACATTGTAAGATAATTCTATAATATATTGCTGTAAGATATGAAGTTACCCTTAGTGTAATTAAGTTCACACTGTCCTATAAACCTTTGTACATAAAGGATAATCTATAATTGATTGATGCTATTATTGATAATTAGTAGTTTTCACTTATTTAGTAAACAAATTACACATTTGGAATATTCTTTGCCATTATTTATCATTTTATAATATTGATAGTTAATGATATTGAATGTGGATGACTACAAAAGTAAAAGAAGACAAAAGAAAGTATGGATGGATTGTGTGAAAGAGGATATGAATAAGAAGGGAGTGGATTCAGTTATGATGGTTGATAGAGATGTATGGAGTAGTACATACTGTGCCGACCCTCCGTAGGGATATGGGTAGGTCGATGACTATACAATAATATTGTTTATATACCATATCATAACATATGTATTATTATATTGATTTGCAAACTAAGCTATATTGCAACTGTATATATTAAATATTTTTCAAAGCATTACATTTTTTATTGTATTACTAATTGTTTCATAATAATAAAATACAACAGTACAAGTTATGGATACAAATAACTTTGTTTTTAAAGCAAAAATACTGGATTACTAATTTACTATTTAAATTCCAAAATCTGCTTGTCCTTTTAAAATCATTCATTTTTACGATATACTACACTAATTTTAAAAATATAGATTTTTTTTACACCAGCAACAAGCCAAAGCTAAAGACATGTAGAAGCATATAATTACTTTCTAAATAAGTACATAGTTTTCTTTATTCAAAAATTGTACATACTTGTGGACCGATATTTTCCTTTTCAGAGATCTGTATAAAAATAAATTTAATGGAACTCAAAATTTAGTTCCTTCATAAAGGAAATATAGAGAACAAGTCTTAGTTTTATCGTCTTTTTTTATGTTGCTGGTTTTAAAGCAATATAAATGTGTAAAATGTTTCTATATATCTTTTTGTTAATGTAACATTGCGAAATTAAAACAATGGAAGCCTATTTGGTAACATAATTAATAAAATTTATGTCTAAATAATTATGTTGATAAAAATTATTAATTCTTACCTGCTCAGGTCCGACGTGACAGAAATTGGAAATCTTTTCTTTAACTGTGTGATCAATAGGTATTTCAGAACGGCATAAAATTAAATCAGGGGACAGACCAAGTCCTCTTAGTTCTCTGACTGATGATTGTGTGGGTTTTGTTTTTGGTTCACCTGTTGATTTTGGCTGTAAACAAAACATAAGACTGCCTCTTATTAAATGTATTTGGTAAATTGGCTATGGTGTGTTTTCTATACATATTGCAACTAGTAATGGGTAAAAGTAATATAAGTCAAATCTTACAAATTTTAGTTAAAGACAATTATAATCTTTTAAGATAATTAGAATTGTACTGTTGTGTTCATTAATTTCATTTATTAGGTTCTGTTTTAATGTTGTGTATTTTGAAAATTAAATATATATTTCACTAACCATTGGCACCAAGGAGACATGAGCACAGCAGAAATTTTCTCTTTTAACTCTAAATTGGAATTGTCTAAATGCTTCTACAAATGACATTCCTTCAATATCACCTATTGTGCCTCCCAACTCCACAATGCACACCTTGGGTGGGGAATTATCTGGTGTGACTGGAATATGTGCCACCCTTTGTACCCATTCTTGAATAGCATCCGTTATATGTGGTATAACTGTTGGCAATTGAGAAATTAAAAAAGGCCTTTTATTTCATCAATAACAAGAATCCTTCAAAAGCTTATTTGTGTTTGAAAACTTATTTTTCAAAATCCATGTGAGAATTCTACAAATGTTTGCGGAAACTTATTACAACTAAGAAAATGACAGAGTTATCATTACCTTGAACAGTCTTTCCAAGATAGTCCCCTCGCCTTTCACGTTCAATGACCTGTTGGTAAATCTTCCCGGTTGTGATATTGTTGTCTCGATGCAGTGTGATATCCAAGAAACGCTCGTAGTTGCCAAGATCAAGGTCCACTTCACCTCCGTCATCAAGCACGTAAACTTCACCTAGAAAATAAAAATAGAACGTGTTATGTTGTCGCACTTACTTTGATAACCACGCGGTGTATTGTTCTGCAATTTAATTCCATAAAGCTTACCATGTTCATATGGAGAGAAGGTACCAGCATCAATATTAATATAGGGGTCTATTTTTATAGACGTAACATCAATACCACAGCTTTTTAAAATTGTCCCGAAAGAACTTGCGATGACACCTTTCCCTACACCGCTGATGACACCACCAGTTACTAAAATGTATTTCATATCCGGCATTTTGTGTTAAATTTCTTCCACTAGCATCGTATCAGAATTTTAATAAATCTAGTTCTGAATATGAAATCCAATCGTTATAGAAAATTATAAGTAGAACCAATCACACATGTGCCTGCGTCAAACTCACACTGCGCGCCAGGTTTTAGTGCTGTGTTGCCAGTTATTACCAATATCGGTTTTCACAAAAAACTCGATTTACCGTCCAGTCTGGTCCAATCGTTTTGTAAATGTACTACTTGTCTTTTACCATTGTACCATACGTACCTATTCCTTGACAGATTCGCGCACGAACACGAACATTTTTAGTCTTTGGTTTTTGTTGTTTAAGTTGTCAATTGTCAAAAGTGCGTTTTCTACGGAATAGGTATTTTGTTGTGAGTTTTCAGAAAAATGCCTAAATACTATTGTGATTATTGCGATACTTATTTGACCCACGATTCACCAAGCGTCAGAAAAACCCATTGCACGGGCAGAAAACACAAAGATAACGTAAAATTCTATTACCAGAAATGGATGGAAGAACAAGCACAACATCTCATTGATGCTACGACTGCCGCGTTCAAAGCGGGTAAAATTGCTCAGAATCCATTTGGTAATAAAGGAGCAGCCATTCCTCCTCCATGGGATCCTTCTGTTATGGCACAAGGAGGGCCCAGACCACCAGTACCCACACCTGGTGGACCTCCAGGGATGTTGCCACCACCGGGAATGGGACCTGGCGGACCTATGGCTCCTCCTATGATGATGGGACCACATGGACCTATGCCCCCTATGATGGGAATGCGGCCACCTATGATGGGCCCATTGATGGGACCTATGGGCCCTATGGGTCCAATGGGTCAAATGCGCCCACCGTTGATGAATGGACCACCTATGAACAAATAGTGCATAGTGGACAATTCTAAATGAACATTATAGACAAAGATGTCTAAAAAGTGCTGCATATTTAAGGTTATGTTAGGTACAGATGTATTAAATATATTTAAAATGAATGTAAAGATTGTTTTAATGTTCAATAGCAAAGAGTGTCTGAAGTGGGTTTTTGCAAAGTGTGTCAACGGTAATTACTACCTCATTCATATATCTTTATTTTATACTTGCACACATTAAGTTCAGAATTGTGTTAAAAATGTGAAAAGTGTAATTACAACATATGGCAAAGTTCATCAATCAAAATAATGCATCAATTTACAAAAACAGACTTCAAATCCTACTCTTGGACACACATCCACATTTTGTATGTATCAATTAAGATAATTTTGTAAAGTAAATAAATTTTGGATAGATTTTTGTAGTTTTAATTTATTAGTACATCATTTATCATAACAAAAATATCAAGAAAACAATTAAATAAAAACTATAACAATACACTATTCAGCTAAGGTACTGGATGGTGGAGCCACTAGTGTTCTGTTTCGATTGTACAATGCTGTCATCACAAGATCTGATAGTAGAAGACATATTGAAATCATCGGCAACAAACCGCTCAGGACCAACGGGGCATGTCTTGTTTTCCTCACTAACTTAAAACCATTGAATACTGCAATTGATAGAGATATTTGTAGTGTACAACAAGCAACCAGTCCATACATTTGTAGAAAATGTGAGGCATATCTGTTCCGTATTGCTCCAAATACAAAGATACTGAGAAATATATATGTGGTAAATATGGTAACGGGAGCAATAAGAGAATGTGTTATACCCAACGGCGGTGAAGATACTTCATTAATCAAATTAGCTGTGTTCAATACAATTGTGAGAAATCTAATTTTGATAGAACAAGCTACAACATTCATTGGTTGCTCTTAGTATAGAAATGGCATGTTAAACTTGTTTTGCAAAGTATTTTTAAAGAGTACTTGCAACTTATGCAATATTATAGCAAACTTCTTGATTTAGTTCTTGATCTCTTAAAATGATAGACAGCTTTGACAATTAAAATGATAGAATAGTGTGAAAAAAAAGAATATGTCAAAGTAAAATCTTAGAGTAGTTATGAGGTTGCAGGTTGTAAATAATAGCAGAACTCAAAACTAAATATTAACTCTTAATTCGATGAAATATTTTGTAGCAAAAAAGTTGTTTTTTAGTAAAGTCATACTTACCTTATTTTTTCTAAGCTAGTTCAGTAGATTTTTTTGTAATTATTTGTTCGTCAGACTGGACACCATCGAATTAAGGGTTAAGCAAGTTTCATAAGATTCTTCTTCTTGTAGGAAATAATAGGAGTAGAGAGGATATAGAGAATAAGTAAAGTCATCATTCAACACATTTATTATTTTCCGAATAACTTAAAAACTTTGAAAAATTGAAAACACTACAATCATAGGTAAAACCTATTAATTATTCAATAAATACTTACACGCTAATTTGTAACCATCGAATTATATTAATATCATATTAGAAACAAATATTGGCCCCATTAGAGCGACAAAAAACAGTAAAATTTTGAGCTCAAATTACCATTTTCGGTAAAAAACACTGGATTTCAAAAACATTTCGTGCTTTCAGAAAAGATTCTAAGCAAGAAAGACTAGATTAAAGCTTCTATCAATTTCATTGCTATATTTACAAAACAGATGTTATCAAACAATTTATAAAGCACCGCTTTAAGGCTTTTCACACTATCTGGATCATCATAAAGCCGTTTCTAGTGTCGTCGGTGAAGTTTTTCCTCTTTCAGGCGAGGTCTCACTTCTCTGAGTTCCCGAAGGGACTGAAGATGTGGGACTTTTAAATGATGTAAATTTAGGAGGTGAGGATTCCGGAGAAGTACTGAAAAATTCTGCCCGCTTCGCTTGCAGTAATTCCGATCTGGTTAAAACATGACATTTGTTTTGATCCGCGTTCAAAGGGAAAACACCATGGTCGATCGATTCGGGAAAGTCATTTTCAACTTCCTGGGTCCTCTCTGTTATCGGTATAAGATTCCTACGTGCACCAAAATGTTGGTGAGTCACGATAGGAATTGTTTTAGATGGCGGGCTGACTGGAGAAGCGTCCTGTTTTTCACCGGAACTGTTAGACGTTTCGTCCTCGTTATTAGCTTCAGGTATAGGAGTAGAGAGTACATCTGATCTCGGGCTAGAAAAACGCCATTGTGATTTAGGCGACAGTAATATTTTTTGTGTATTTTTATGTTCTTTTATTAGAGCGCCTGTTCTTCCTGGTGACGTAGGTTGGTTGTTAGACTTTATAGTTTTTCTATGATTGTATGTTTTCGGCGATCCGCTGAGGTCCAGTATGTTTATTTGCGATCGGTTACTGGGTGGAGTTATCGGTGTTTTTTCTTTGGACAGTTTCAATTGTTCTACTGCTGACAACTTAGCTGATTTACTTTGTGGATTCAATGTATTAAGTTTGACACTATGTTGTAAGAGTAGTTTTTTGAAATCTAGTCTCGAAGTTTGAGGTATCGGTCCAAAGCGATCAGCGCATGTGCTCTCTTGTTTTTGTATACCAGGTGCCAAAATCGGGGCAGCTTGGGGAATCATCTGTCTCTCAGTCAGAGACCATCTGCTTCTTGGATCACCTAAATAACCAGTTTCAGGATAACGTTGAGAACCTTTATTGTACAAGGATGGCTCCGAAGGCACCGGTGATAAACTCAACGTGGACAGAGCCGGAGACTCTGACCTCTCTGGTGGTTCTTTAATATTTAGTTTCTTTTTACTTTTATGGATAACTGCATATAATTCTTCGTTTGTCATAGTAGATTTTACCGGTGACAACAATTTGGTACTTATATCAACTGTATTTTCTTTACTAGTGGGAGTGGACGATTTAAAGGTTCCCGAATTTCTGGGATCTATTGGAGACATTTTAATAGATTCAGTATCGGCGCTTTCTTTATCTGCTAAAAGGTGTACATCTGCGACGGTTGTGTTCTCAGGAAAGTTTCTTCTTCGACTTTGATCATGAACGGGTGGTCTTTGGAAATTTTGATCCAGCGGCGTTCTCTTGGGAAGAGTCCAATATTTAGGTTGGCCTCTTTGAATATGATTTTCATAATCCGGAACTCCATGTCGACCTCGCAGATGTGCCGTGTGGGGCCGATGGAGAGTAGGATTTATTGCATTTAGATCAACTGTTGGTCCGTTGTTTTGTGTTTTACGGGTTGTAGCTAAAACAGGTTTGTCAGCACTGGCATGTCGAATGTCTGAAAATGCAATTAAATATTTAAAACAATAATTTACGCGCACATACCCCTTAATCCTTTAAAATAGTTTATTTTAATATTACTCTATAGCTATACAAGATGCAATCGGCTCTTTAAGACATTTACGTGTAGATAACGTCCTATATACGTATTAAATATCCAACTCGAAATAACGGCCTCTATTTTAGTGTTCACTTTTAGCTTTGTAGACATATTAATTGTTTTTTTTTATTTAGATGAATTTATTTTTAAATTTTTCAATATGCTAATTACATCTTGAAAACTGCAATAGCATCTAAATAATGACAATACATACAAAACATACATAAAACCATTTCCGCAAGCTTCATCTTAATGCAAACAGCTATGTGAAAAAATAGAGTTTGTACATACGATTTTAGATTTTATTTGACTAAATGTGATGCTTTTAAATAGTGCATGGGTATCGTTTCAAAATTTGATATGATAATATACTTAATAGGCGTAAATATGTCTGTTAGTTTATTAGTATTACTTAAATCTTTATAAAAATAGTTTTATGTGCAAATGTTATAAGTGGGTTGGAATTGTTAATATCCCCAACATAAAAAAGGATTATTCCTTGATCGCGGTTTATATGGTGCATTATAGGAGCCACCTCATGGTTAATGCTCAGATATATAACTTAACTAAAGTTGGAATATGTTAGAAGAAAAATTATTAGTGTTCATGCATATGAATATTGGACATGCCAAGAAAGCAACAAAAACTTTACCTTTGAAGAAGATGGCGTTAACAAAGTCGCAACCATTGGAAGCAATCTCGTTCACTGTGCAAAGCGATGTAGGATGAGTGTTTAAACAAAATACCAGTGGGGTAGACGGCAACAATAAATGTCTAACAATACCACTATGGTAATACTTGTATTAGAACATACTGTTATTTCGTTAAAAAAAATAAAACGCGGAGCATGACGAAATGTTGTTGTACTAGTCTTTAGATAATGGAAACTCACAGTAAATCTTTTCATTCTGGTACAAATACTAGAAAATTTAAAGTTAACGGCTATTTATTGTTGCGAATCTCGAATAACCACAGTCACATTTTTTTGCTTTTATATTATCTTTTTAATACAAAGATACCAAAGTTATTGAAATTAGTTATGTTATAGTGCTTGTGTCATGTTTCGGATGTAACCAGTTAATTGTTGTATGTTATATATCCTTTTCATTTTCAAAAAATATTTATGTACACATCCGTATGTTAAATTATTATCAAGTGCCTTTATTTTGATTTTTGACCGTAGAACAAGATCTGTTATAAAAGTTTATTGTAGTATAAATTAGCAATAAGCATTTTTTTATAACAGAACCATTCGGTCATATCTTTTTTTTAAGCCGTGTGCAAGGTGATAGTGAGGTGAGGGTGAGACACGAAGGAGTGACAACAAATGAAATAAGTGCAGTTCACAATAAATCTATTATTATTTACAAAACACAAAAGTCATACAGAGTAACACACCATGCACGTACACACGAAGTATGTATTCAGTCGTAAGCTGTGCACAATGCGCTGCGGCGAAATAAGCCACCATGCAATATTTAATTCACAAACATAAAAAGTACCTAAATATAATTGATTCTATTTAAATGGCAATTAACGGCAAATTTAAAAGATAAAATCTAAAATTTATAAATCCTAATAAACAATTCAGATAAGCAATGAACTGATCAATCATTATCACAGAGTCAAATAATTTGAAAGAAATAAAATAGGAAGACGCGATTGAATGCTTATATTCATATTGGACGGATATTTTCTTCCATTTGATAATATGACTAAAACTTAACAATGTTTAATAAAGTACATTTATAATATAAAAATATTCGATCAAAACATTTTACAATTCTTTTATAATCTACGTATAAGCGTATTAGACTTGCGAAAAGGTACAATATTTAGGTAACAGAAAAAAAAAATGGATATGTTAAATAACATAAAACTACATTTTTAATATTTACCATATCTCAGTGCCATATTCCGATTCGGAAATGGATAGAATACGAGCCCTGTGCATTGAGCCATCTACAGGAACAGTCACTTTACTACTGGGTGAGATATAGGAAGGTGGAGTGTGCAAAATGCAAATATCATCGGAGCTAGAATCTAAGATAGCGGTTAACATATCTAAAGCAGTGTCTCTCGTATTAGGTACAAATGCAATAGATTGTCTTTTCGGCAATGGCGTCGTCAAAGGACTCAAAGTAAGAGCGGATAATTGAGATTCAAAACTCCTAACGGGAAAAGAATCGTTAACATTGCATTCACATGTACTTAAGTTCTCGAATATATTCTTTTGACCGAGTTTAGGAGATACTGTCGAGGGATAATTAATTTCTTCTCGTAAAAGATCTGCTGCTATTTCAGCTTGGATCATTTCAAACGAGTTAACTTTTTTCGCTCCATTGCCAAAGCTATCTAATTTGAGTAGCTTTTTTATTGGCATTAGCGGTGAATTTGCTAGTTTATAACTATCGCTGCGCTTTACCTTGTTAGTGTGTGATTTAGTTACATCGTTACTAGAGTTGATTGGATCCCCGTTAGTTTCGTTTGCATTTCTACCTGTAAACATTCTCATTACTTCTGCTACTTTATTGCTGCCTAATTTATTAAAATCTTGTTGACATTTACTCTTTAATATGCCCGGGGTTTGGAAATTGGGTATAAAAGGAATAATGTCAGCATTTGAATTTAATTCATTAGTTTCTGGCTTAGGCTCCCTTGTAGATTTAGGACTTGGGGGTTTTGAGCAAATATGATTCTTACCTGCTGTATCATCTTTCGTTGGAGACAAGCTGACACCCTCTGCATCATGTATGTTTACATACGCCCCAGTTCTAGTTAGAGCTTCAACTATTCGCGGAGGCTCTGGATTACTACTGGATACTTTAACTGGTTGTGGATCGGTTATGACGGGAGTTTCAGTAACTGGGGTCGCAGTTATTATGGTGCTCGGCTTTGGTGCTGGTAAAGTGATAAATTCAGTAGTGATTTGGCCGTGTCGGTCTGTAGGCGCCTTGATTATCATTTTTCCTAATTGTGGGGAAGTAGGCTTGCTCGATGGCGGTGGAGGTTCATAAGGAAAATCAGTTTCATCTGTAATTTGTACAACGTCTGCTTTCTCTCGTTGTATTGTTAAAGTAGTCGGACAAATTTCCTGAACAAAAGGACCCGGTTCAAAAGTAGTATGGGCGCCTTTTCTACGTTTTAATGTATCCGACGAATAAATAACTTGTCCATGTGAGTCGAGTGTTACTTTAGCTCCTTTTCTTTGTATCTCTTCCAACGCAGCAGACGGTTTTTCTTCAAATCCAGGTTCAAAATCTTTACTTTCATTTAGACAATTCGGTAGTTCATTGAGAGATACATATTCGGTTTCTGGAAGTTTTCCTGATAGTACAGTCTGCAAGTTCTTTCTTACAATGTCGTTATTTCCGTAATTACCTCCATTGAGACATATTTTTTGATTATTATTTTTAACATCCGCTATAGTCACGTAATCACCAGTATCATAGAAATGTTCTACTTCTTTGGTCACGGGAGATTTTTTGTTTGATAATTTATTAGGGAGCACACCTTTTAACTTGCACATAAGATTATTAAATGGTTGTCGAGCAGGTTTGGGAAGGTTTGGATATTTGTTGGCCTGTTTTACTGTCTCTACGCAAGTCTTGCTTTCCTTAGGTTTGTCATCGGGTGGTAAATCCAGTTTTGGTCGACTACCAGCTTTAACGATGCTCTCAGCTGATTTTTCCGTTTCCAATTTTTTACTAGATCCAGATTCCTTACTGTTTTCGCTTTCGTCATCTGAATTAGTTGGAGTGATAACACACATTGACGGAATTCTAGAACTGTTAATTGTTGTTTTGTATCGTATTCTTTCTATTCTGTCGGTGCCTTCCAGATCAGATGATTCGGAATAATCTTGTTCAGAGAGGCTATTTTTACCATGAGCGCTAGAAACCGAATCTTCAATAGGTGAACTAGAGGTATTATGTCCTGAGTCTGGTGAACTAGTGCCTGTACTTTTCTTTGCACTTTCGAGATCCGTCTCTGTATGTATTTCAGCGACAGCAGTTATACTTCTTTGATTTCCGACACTTCGAGTAATAGTAATAGCAGAGGTCGGTATATCTCGTATTTCTGGGGAGGAATGGTTATTTCCTTTTTTGTCGGCGTATAGTCTAACTGGGTTATATCGTAAGCTGCTGAAAGGAGATTTCGTAAATGAAGAATTTGCGGTCCTATCTAAACTAGCGTTTGCACTATGAATGTTGTTGCCTCGGTTTCTGTTCATTAAAGTTAATGAACTTTTTCTTTCTGGCACTGTTGGTCCTATTACTAGTGAACGGTCGCTTCCTGCTGCCATTAAAGTCGTGCAAACAGTACCTGCTGAACTAGTGGTTGTACTTGTAGACCCTTTACCAAATAATTCATATTCGTTTTCCGCGGTCAAATTCTGACTATTTGAAGAACTAGATAAAGCTGTGCTAGTATGTAGTGGGGTACTGGGAGATACTTCTTCTTCTTTCAACGTTTTTAAACCAGAATCCATATGGAACGATGTATAGTAACCTTCCGTATCGCAAGAAAACTCTGAACTTGTTTCTAAATCTTCATGCAAATCATGTATAATATCTGGAGTTAGAGTACCTTCACTTGTAACGCTGCCAGAACCAGAATTATTGGGGAATCTTCTCCGACTTATGATGGAACTTGGTGGTCCATGATGTAAATTAAGCGAATTATTTGATGTACCAGCAGAAGTCGTGCTTTTAGGTGGTACAGTAGTTGTTGTTATTTCTGACCCTATGCTTGTTCGTCCAGATTCTGAACTGGCCGACCAATTACCACTAGATGAATGTGGTTCATCTTTACCGGTTCCACTTCGTCTTAACCGTCTCTGAGTTGACGTTCCTCTTAGTTTAACGCCATTGTTGATAGTTGCCGTAGTTTGGACGTTGGTTGGTACGCCAATGCTCTTCTCTGAAGATGAATATGAGGCACATCTTTGATGTGTCCTTCTATCTTCATCGCTTTGGCGTTTCTTTCTCATTGTGACTGTTTCTTGTGTTTCATTACTTTCGACACGCGGTGGAGATTTTGAATCACCACTTTTTTCATTTTTACTATTATCTTTGAAGTTATCTCTGCTGGCACTTGGTGATCTTCCAATTAACTTCAGTCTGTTTTTGCCCCATTGTTTCAAACTATTAAAGTGTCCTTTCTTCATAATAGGATCAATGGGGCTCTTCTTGAGCAAATCACTAGATCGTGATCTGATTACCGTGTTCGTTTCCTCCATTTCTTCAGAAGCCGCAGCATTTGTAGTATCACTATGATAAAACAAACCAAGCAAAGCATTAGTCACACGCTAAGGCATATCTAAAGGTAAAAGTTTAAAAGAATCCACTTCGTCCTGTAACAGTGGAATCTTCTAAAGAAATCATTAATCATAAAAGCTAATGAACAAATGACACTATTAGTGTACAAGTGCAACATTGATTGTCTTTGTTTTTTCTTTATTTAATTTGTTAATAATACGCTACGGAACAATGACAACCAGGAAAAGATATTATGTATTCACAAAAGCACGAAAATATTATCAAGATGTTAAACTGTGCCAAAGATTTTAACTGAGCATTTTAGGCTCCAAACTGTACTGTGCTTTATGGGTTATAGTCGTTAATTGAAACAATGAGATTACATTATCTGTGCTTTCTAATACTTTAATTGGTAACAATATTTTTATTTGTTGAACATCTAATGTAACCTCGAGTGTACGGTGCAAACTAAAAGCTTACCCAGCGATAGCCTCTCTAAGCTCTTTCTGATCTGTGCCGGATATGGTGTTTCGTCTTTTACCCCGTGGTTTTCTCGTGCGCGTGCGTCGCTTCACCGTATCGGTTTCCCCGGACCCGGTCTCTATGTGTAGAGACTTACGAGAACTGCACATTCTGTCGAAGAATTTACCCGATGTGTCTATCGCTACAACTTGTGGAGGGAATCTGAAAATTAAGCAAAGATAACGTAAAAGAGACGATAGGATGGGTTTGTAGCGAAGCTTTGGTCATAGATGAAAACCTGATGATAATTGGGAACAGATTTGTTTTCAAGGATAAAGTAACTTACTTAGAAGCGATGACCCTGAGCTGTTCCTCTGGGCTGGGCAGTCTGTGGTCTATGGGCTCGTCGTCGCCGGAGCCCCATTCCGACAGCTCGTCTGGAGTCAGCGTGACGCCGTTTGCGATTCGCATAGACGCGTCTGGCAGTGCTGTCACGTCACCGATCGCTTCCTTCGAAGTCCATTTCCGAAGCTGTTCTACAACTGTTGGCTGAAAATCGCACATTTAAAAGAAGACATTCAGACTTTGTAAAACTATAAATGGCAATATATAGACAAAGGGTTAGGTTCTGAATTATCATCAGAGTTTATTTATTTGCTAACGTTTCTTTAAAAATGATATTACAGCATACTTACAATGTGCGTTTCAATTTCATCTACTTTCTGATAGATTCGTCGTCTCTTCGTGCCGAGTACGGGCGTGCATAGCAGGAACTGGGAGTACTGGGAGTCGCGCCGCATCTGCTCCAGTAAGGACGCCGACAGGCGGTCTGTCGTCGCCTTATCGTACATGTTGCGTAAGCTCGCCGGCCTGGAATGTGCGTATTACTTTATATTGCTTGTATTAGCTTCCGTTTTGTTTTCTTTACAGAAATCGGCGTATTGTGGTTTGTACAATATTATTTTGTACCTTTGCGTAGAAGACTGAAGAGAAACGACAATGATGAGTTTAATGCTACTACAATCATCGGTATAAATTGAACTTTCAAGGCGAGGCAGCGGTACTAAATGTGTTATAAGTATTTTAATGTTATTTGCATAACATGTTGGTGCATAAGCTTATCAGTGATGTTTCTATCAGACGTGGGAATGAAAGATGTGTCCAACATTACGGAATTAATAGTTTTGACTTCCGGATAGACCGTTACAAACCAGTTGTACTCTACAAGTAGTTTGGTTTTAATGATTTCTACCCACGTAGTTGCTCGTCCGTATAATTAGGCAGGATTGAAAAGGAATTAAAGACATTTAAAATTAGCTATATTATTAAAAAGTACTTGAAAGAATTTAATGAATTGGATTTGTGAATGCATGACCAATCAAGGAACCTCTTAAAAGAATTTTTTAAACAAGTCTCTCAGTTTATTCCTCTACTAGACTACTAGATATGAATAATTCTGTTTTATTAATAGTATTCTTCTTGACTGTTAACACTTCTCACATAAATCATACTATTACCGTGCCCACATGTCTGAGAGCCTATGTAAGTAATCTAAATAGGCACTAATGCATTTAGCCTTGCTTGTTCTTGCTGCGTCGATTTATATTAAGGCAAATTAGTTTGAGCGCACAGACCTTTATAAGCTGTAATGCTGTTTGTTAAGAGTACCCAAAAAGAATATATTTTGCTCCAACTATTAATTATATATTTAGTTTATGTTACAAAGGATATACGCAGTGTATTCGCAATTGCAACTTACTTGCATAATGTTTACAAATATAGACGGACTATAGATCGGACGTAAGATTCAGTGTTAATTAAATTAACGTTGTTTACCTGGTATCTGGTGTGAATAGGCCTTTCTTGAGGGGATTGGTCGCCGTGTAGTGAACTTTGCGTAGAGCAAAGTCTGACAGGCTGCCTTCCGCTGTAACAAATAAAATGAAATGAATGAAAAAAGAGCTTTGTCTTTGAAGTTATTTGCAATTTTTTTTACACTTAAGTAATTCAATGTACGTTTTTCCTCAATGTGTTCTTAAATCATGTGACCAGATTGGATAGTCTATGATTTAACGGGTGTTCACAGTCGAGCGGTCTAAAGGCACCACCATTTTCGTTTTCTGAAACATTACTTGCAATGTACAAGGCTTCAACTAGTGTAACTATGTTAAGACTATAATAGAGTATAGAATTTTGTTACAAGTTCAGTAAAATCTGACAACAGCACACTATCGTAATATCATTTGCAGTACTAGGTGTAACCATTGCAGTTGTCCTAAACCTGTTTCAATTCGCAACATTTCCATTTTCGTGCGCCGTCACGCCTAAATTTGTATGCATGAACGCAGGTAAGATATTTGTACAAAATTATTTGTAAATTCGACATACAAATTTGAGCGTTCTTTGATATGGATTGTAAAATATTTTAAACATCTGAAGGGTGAATGTATACGATCGGAAACAAGCATAAGACGCGTCAATTAGTTAACAAAGTAACTAGGGATAAGTTATTCTGACCATTTTATATGAAAAATTTTAAATTGACAGGTTACAAATCTATTCACGATTTACAAATGGTTTGGGCATGCGTTTCTCAAAGGCCAATCCAATCAGTTAGGTATAATAATTAGTTTGTGTAGTCAGATGTTATCAGTTATGAAAACGTGCAGTAGATTTTCTAGCATGGCAAGGTGTTGACTTTATCTTTCACAGGTCAAGCGTCACGAGAAAATGTCGCGGTATTTTAAATAGCTCGAGAAGTATGTTCGTTTCAAAGTTTACGAAATCTGTAAACTTCTAAAATTGTACATTTAAATTCACAATGAACACAAAAGAGTAATCTCTATATTTTTACTGTGTCTTTTCTACGACCTAAAAGGTTATCTTTGATTTTAACCGTTTGCGTGTTAATAAAAGAAGGCTTTCAAATGAATTCGTAATGAACGTTGTTTTTTTTTGTAGAAATACGACACGGTGACATATTGAAATGATTTGCTGTATACTCAAATAAATGGAGCAGATGTTCCAGAAGTCATTATTAAATTCTTATATCGTACAGGCTAATGAAAAAAACTGTTAGAATTATTGGTATTTTGCGAGCGTGAATTATTAATAAAATGTATTTTCACACATGAAAACACATCGCTCTAGACCAATGTTATATTTTATTTTTCTTAAAATTACGTATAATAACTTGGTCGTAAATATATTTCTCCTTAATAAAAAAAGTCTATGAATATTACTGGATATTCAATCATCTTGTACATAACAACAACAGTAAATAATTATTGATGTGTCATGTAATATAGCTGCGTTGCACCTAATTAGTCATAATATATTCGTGGTATAAGAAAGTGAAAGGTAAACATGTAATAACATATCGTATTTCATACGATGTAGAATTTAGTCTCAAATAAGTGTTGTATACTACAGAAATTTAATTTTTGATATTATATCAAAGAAACTATTTTTAATGTAATAAACCATTACACGCTTAAACCCTAAGGGACCCCTACACAAAATATTTTCTCTGCTCTCCGCTCTGGTTTGTCTAAAAAAAGCCTAAACACTTCATCTAGGTAAAGATTTGAGTCCCTCATTTTACTTTTATTTATAAAAGCACATGGACTTGCAAAAATCTATTGCATTCGGGCAATTACCTAAAATGATTATTTATTTTATAAGTTGTATTGACGCTATATAAAACTGTTTAAGTAATAAGAAATTAATGATTGGTACGAGTAATAACATTGGTATAAATGATTAGATACTGGTTATTAAATGTTCACACTACAAGCAATTGATTTATAACATAATTATAACCCAATCGTATGTTTATTGTACGAACAGACTAATTGTAATTAAAACGAAACATTTCATAGGTCAGCCTTGTTCAATAGCCGTAGGGGTTAGAATGTAGAGGTAAAATATTTAGATTTGATTAACAAGCTTGTAAACTATTAATGTCGGGACATGTTTAATGAGTTTTTGTTTGAAGAAATCGGTTTCTAGTATGTTTTTATAGAACAATTTGTTCTTTTTTTATTTTAACTGTTTAAATAAAGAACCCAAAAGGTTAATTTTGTCATTAGAACAAAAATGCGGTTTGAATGAATAATGATGCGCTTATCTTAATAATAAATGCTTTATCATAAGCCGCGTTTTTAAAATGGAAGAGTCTTTAAAAATTTCATAGAAAACGAAATATATTCGATAGATATAAAGCCAGCAGAACACAATGAACTGTGGAAGATGAGTTTAAGAACTGTGATTTATAGACCTATATTTTTTTTTCTAGACTTAAAGTATACAGTTAAGTAGAGTCAAATGTTTTTTCTAGAAGTAACGGATTCAATAAACATGCTTGTTTTTTCATAGGTCGTAAAAATAATTAGTTATTGAAGGTCTACGTCCAAACATTTTATGGAAACCGAGTGGATTAGAAGTCTCAACAAAATACAAATAACGATTGCAAACACATGCGAAATGTAACAGATAACTTATATTATATTGGGACAAAAGAAAGTGATTTAACGTTCCTTCCGCGGACGGTATAGCAAGTTTATGCGCGATTCGGTCTGCAGGTAAGCGATTAAGATACCAACTTGATTGCTTGGGAGCAGTAAAACGGCCCGTAAAGTCATGTCCGTTGTATTTACAGCACTGGACAAAGGGAATGTTTATTATCTCTTATTATTTGACGACGTGCTTAAGAACAAGGATGCCGTCGCTGTTTAGATTTTCACGTAACCCAGTTATCGTATTTACCACGCTGTTAACGCTTTGTTTTTATCTGTTTAATATCCTGTTATAAAATAACAATTAAACAACTGAAAAAGATCCTACAAGCCAAGAAAAAATAAAGCTTTGAAACTGTTATATGAGTGTTAAAAATTACCTTTAAAATCCTTATTAAAGTTGGAATATTATATATATTGTAAAAGATTACGTAACCGGAAAACTGAAGCAGAAATAATTTACATTTTAAATTTTAAATTATTACAACTAACGTATGTACATAAATAAATAACTTCCTTACTAAAGGTCTGATACTCTGATCTAACATGAACTTTAGCGCACCGTCTACTACAGAACATAAATTTTCTAAATGTTACATTGTAATTTATTAGCTTTACTGGTATTGCATAAGTTTAGTTTTGTGTTAAACTGTACCTTATATGCTCAGAAGAACGCCCAGTTTTTACTTTATTGCGAGTACGAGTATGTCTCCCCGCCAAGTCTTTTTCAACAATCCTTAACCTTTAAACTATAGTTTTTATATCCCAAATTCGTAAGTATTGTAGAGATTTAACAAAACCAATTTAAAAGTTTTAATACTTTTATCGTATGAAATGCAAAATATATTTTGTCAAGTCTGTATAAAGCTATGATATAATGAGGCGACATGCAATCTATTCCGAGTTACATCGCGGTATAAATTCCTGAGCAATTCTATTGCTGTGAATAAATTTGCAGCGAACGCAGCGCTTGATATGAGCTTTGCTCGCTGAATGTCCATTGAATATAAAATCAAACGCTTTTACCGACCATACGGTAGGTACATGCGAATTTAACGCTGTAATACGGCAGGCGAAGTAAATACCTCACGTAATAGGAGACTTGTGTGAACTCGATTAGCGTGCGGTACGCATGTTACAATAAAGGTGCAATAGAATCCTTTTAAGGGGGTAATTAACGATGTTTTATAGACATACAGATCGTTTAAAAAGTACCTAGGAGTTATATTAAAATTAACGATAGTGTTTGTAATGTAAAATTTAATAAATAGAAACCTTTTTATTCTCGTAAGCCCATTTTGCAGTTGTCCTTAGCATTACATAATGTAAGAAATTTTGAGTTATGTTGCTCTTTAATAAAAGTAAACTGTTGTTCGGGACTTTATTTACGAGGGAATCAAGAGTTAATGGTTGAAGACATGGAATGAACTTTAGGAAATTTCAACCTGGGGGGATGTAAATATATATAAGGAACCCGACGCGGTTTAACGAGTACGTACTTTTAATGAATAACTTTAAGTTGTAAAGGTCTGACTTTGCTGTGAAAAGGGAAATTTAATAAAAAATTATGTTTTCGGAAATAAATATTTATTTTGTTTTAAAATGTCAATTAAAGATTGCACATATATCATCAAAGTAATAAGAGTTAATCCATGTAATCATAAATAATAAGCAACAATTACTTATTGTAAAAGTAACTATAACAATGTAAAAGTCTTCTCAAATACATATACATACAAAATGGAATTCAGTTGGTGTGAAATAGACAGGTATCGAGTCAACTTCATCATGACAAAAGCGGGCTATAATAAAATTGCAAATTCGATTCCAACGTGGAAATGTCGATTACAGGAACCTAGTTGCATATCAATAAGCAAATTAAGCGCAATTGAAAGCATGTAAGGGTAACTTTACACATTTAAACAAGTATAATATTTCTTGTCTCTTATAATCCAAAATATGACAAAACATTGTGTTAACCAATTTTATGATTATCATGCAAATTTGGCAATTTTATAATAATTCAGTTCTGTTCTAAATTAGGTTTAGATAAAACAATTCGCTTTAATAATACGAATCGCAATGCAAGTTAAAAACTTTGCTATGTCCAGTAAAACTAGATCAAGAGTAGCGTAAGTACTAAGTAGGGCCCCACTGTAGTCTCGCTACTGCCTAGGTCTCGTGAGGCCGACGTATGGCTTGAAACACACGCGCACAACTGGGTGGTTATTATTGTCGCATTGCTTTTACGTGATTATTGTTTAGTAGTTTAGTCAAAAAATGCCAAAGTTATACGCGAGCAACTTAATTTCTAGTCATAGTACCTTATTAGCCGTGGTTTGTCTATATTTAATATTACTTATATACAGTTTCTATATTTGTTTACAAACTTTTAAATTATCATAATAAA